CCACTGCAATCCGCAATCGCAAACTAAGGCCCCTGTGAACAAAAAAAGTAAGAGCAAATTGTTTTCATCTAATGCTTTCAGTTTCTGTATAAAAGTTTAGAATGTGACTATTCCTTCTGTTACGTACTCGAGTTCATTCTAAGTTTAGTTAAACTGGTCATCGAAACGAACGCATTTTCCTGAATACTCGTTACATTGTTACCAGTTAAATCTAGTTCGGTTACGCTGTTCAATCCGGTAAACGCTTTTTTATTCACCGATTTTATTCTATTGTGCGCTAGACCTAGCTTCCACAATTGTCCCAGTGGACCGAAAGCGCCGTTATTATCTTCCACCATATACCAAAGTTTATTAGAGTTGAGTTCCCTTTAACAAAAATAATTACTGTGAGAAACTAATCAGTACAGATTTATCATACGTCAGCGTTTATGTACACGTACAATATCTGTAAATTGGGTGTTGAACTGAACGCTCCATCTGAAATATACGTAATTTGATTGTGATCCATTTTGAGCTTTTCCAATTTTTCTAAAAAATCGAACGTGCCTCGTTCTATGGAAGTTATTTCATTGTGCGAGAGATCTCTGTAAACAAATTTAAAATTACATATAATGCTGTATCTGATTAACGTCTTAAATGAAGCCTAATACTATCACAAATGTTACTAACAATTCTATAATTTCTTTGCATAAGTCCCATGCTTGCGCTTCTATCGTTCGTATTCGATTGTGAGACAACGTTAATTTCTCTAAACGTTCCAAGCCAAACAGTCCCCCTTTCCTCACTGTACTTAACAAATTAAAGTCAAGTTGCAGAACAGTCAAATTTTTGAGCGGCCAGAACGCGCCATCGTCTAATACTTCGATTTTGTTTCTCTTTAAGCGTAATTCTTTAAGGTTTTTTAAACCCCTAAGACTAAGTCCTTGTATCGTTTGTATATCATTCCTATTAATTTCTCTGTAAAATGAACATCACTTTTTACATTACACACGCGCGGAAGAAGACGAAAATTATCGTTATATAAATAAATTCTTACAAAATTTGCAATTTTTTCAAATTCGTAAAGAGATCTTTGAGTTGGGTGAGTTGATTTTTATTCAAACGTAATTCTTCTAATGAAGTCAAGTTATCCAAACTTCCATTTTCAATTACTCTTATGTGATTCATATTTAAATTTCTGAAAAATAACAATGTTCAGTGTTATGGAAAATCAAATACACACAGTGTATCGTAAGACATAAAAATGATAGGCTACATACAAATGTGTAAGACAATTAGGAACAAGGAAAGATCCATGTTTTATTGTGCTTATTTTATTTCCACTGAGGTCCAGACTTTGAAGCTGTTGTAAACTCAACAACGCGCTTCCGTTTATATCGCTGATTGAGTTGTGAGCTCTGCAAGCAAACAATCATTGTTTACAAGAAACACTAATTTTCCTTTTGTAGTAAATCAACACACTTACAATGCAAGATGGGTTAAGTTGTTCACAAAAATCAAATCTGGCACTTGTGTCAATTGATTCTTATTTATTTTAAGTCCCTGTAATTGTGTATTTTGCGACAGCGTAATCGTAAAATTATCTCCAAATTTATTGGCGCTGAGGTCCCTACACAAATCATTGTTTTTGTTTAATTCATCATTTATGTACACAATATCAAACAACTATTAAATATAAGGACACTGTAAATGATACTTACAATTCTTTGAGCTTAGTTAAATGTAACAGTGCATCATACTCCAAACTAGCTATAGTATTCTCTCTTAGTTCTCTGTAAAATGAAAACCGCACTATTAATGAAAAACAGTTCATGCCAATGATGCATAAAACAAATTTCTTAATAAATATCTTTTACTTTTTTAATATTATTTGAGTTACAAGGGATCATCTAAATTAACAATTGCCCCAGGGCACCAGTAACCCTAGTGCCAACACTGCATTCATTTAATTACTCTTAACATTTATATTTTTACTTCTTTTATATTTTATACAATATATATCTACTCGTAAATCATGTTTACATCTCTTCTTATTCCTTGCATGGAGATTGCTAAAGGTACTTTTAAACTATAGTACCTAGAAACAGAAGTATACAGCAAATGCAAGTTGCCTTAAGACCTTAAAGGTAAGGTTTTCTTCATCCAGATCTTGTTCTCCTTGACTCTAAGCTTTATAAAGTGACAATAGTCTGCCCCCATGCATATTACCTTATATGGTCAAGAATTCCTACTGATGTATATGTAACTAGGAGTCTAGTATCATCACTATACCATTTACGGAATAGAAAACAAATTTTCTGGATTCCTTTTTTCAATTTCAATCAAACTAATCACAATAAAAAAAATTAATCTGGAAAGTACAGCATACAAAGAAGGAAATGATGCATACATCCAGATAACAGAAGACTCACTCTCGTGGAATCCAAATGATTAATCTGACATTAATTGACAATACTCAACAACTAATCGAAATTATAATTTACTCTAAGAAAAAAATTTTTTTAATTACTAACGTATTACGTAAAAAGTATTGTTAAACATTTAGTTTCTGAATTATTTACTTTATTGTCTAGTGAAATGTTTCGAATCGAATTGCAATTAGTTATTTTCCCAAGATTATTGTTTACGAGAAATCAAACAATCGTTAACAATAATAGTAATAATCTTTCAAGGACGCAATCATAGAGAACGTTTCAGTAAAAATATTGCTCGTTTTCAGCTTGGCAAAACGAATAATGTTATCGCGTGTATTAACACAATGTTTCTGTTACAAATTCCTGTACATTATCTTATCTGCGTTAGATCATGTTACAACGAATATGCATAGCTCTCAACTTTCAATCTCGACGATTCCGTCGCGCGCAATGCGAAGGCGTCGTATAATCGCGTGGAAATACAAAAAAAATAATCCGAAAAATTGTAGAATAACGACCAGTTCGAGGTTGAAAGGAGGAAACAGGTATATCGAATGACGAATAAACCGTGTCGTTGTGTTGGCAAAAACGATTTACGTCGGTTAATCCGCGAATAGACGGCGTGGCACCGTCTCTCGGTCAGAGGTGGGCAAAATTCTTATCTAGATAAAAATTTCGAAAGAAGGCGAACAGTTTTTGATACATTATTTGGATAATCGTTTGATCAAATACACGTGAATTAAGTAAAATACTGGACTTTCCATTCATCAATTATTACTCAAATGAAATTGTGTCCGTTGGTAATCGTTGTTCAGTAAAGGATAAAAGTGAAAACTTTATATAATGATTGAGATTGTTCGTTGTTCGTTTATTTGTGGAGCGTAGCGTTGGCTGTAACACCTAATACAATGATACGATCGGTTACATTCAGGTGTTCAACGTGAATCTTATTTCGGTTGTATAATTCGTAACTTTTATTAAACGAATAATAGATCCAGAGATATTTATCTTTTACTCGTTGTTCGACGATATCTAGATTTCGTTATCTAGATGATAATTTCATTCATCTTAGTCGTTCTTGATAATAGGATAACGAGCGATTATTTACTCACAAGATCTCTGTCCATGGTGGTAGACCGCTGGGTGCTCCGATCAATTGTAAGCTACTGCAATCGACTACATTCCCAAGGCACGAACACTCGACGGGACACTGATTATCCTTGCTACCATACGATATCAAGTCGGCACTCGTAGGGTTCAATAGGATCACGTATAACACCCATAACAAAACCGCCGTCCATTTGCGAGCCCACTCGAATCGACGTAAGAGAAATACTCGTCCTGTACTCGACATTGTACGCGTCCGTCGTAATATCGTTCCGTTTTTCAAAACTTATTTCGTAATTGTACGTTGCGTATCGCCGACGGTTGTCCCCATAGCGATATTCCGTAGCACGAGCACCGCCACTCCCCCCGAAAGCATCACCATAATAACGTAAATGCCCACACCTCTTATCGACTGAAAACAAACTGGTCGTCTCTCAAAAACGCTCCGGCCCACACACCATGATGACGCCTACGGACCGATGTGAGACTCCCTGACTGATGATTGAGCGAGACCATTCTTCTCTCTCCCTATTTACACAACATTCCAACCTTCGTGTTACTAGGACTCCGTCTAGTGACATTTTCTTCGGGACAGGAGTGGCTCAAAAATATACATTGATGGCGCCATTGATGCCCCACTATACAACAGTAAAATTATTCTTTTTAAATTAGAAACTTTTTAAATATATCTTTTGGCTTTACAGTCTTTATTTGGGAAATAATCGTATTACAAAATATTTCATTAACACTAGTCTATTAGTAGATTATTGAGAATCAATATGTTTTGTATGAGCATTTGCGAATTTATTTACATGAATGTCATTCTTAGGCTTTAAGAAAAAGTCACGAGCTATGGCACCAACAATAGAGACTTCCCTGAAGAAGACAGGGTTTTGATTGGTGCCCTATCTGGTGATTTTCAATTATACAATAATAATTAATAACCCTGAGTAAAAATCGATATTATATACAATTTTTGTAAAGTCCAATTATGTAAATATAATCAAATAAGAATTCTTCTTTGTGATAAGTGGGAGTATAACTACTTGTAAATACAAGCGCATTGAAAATGACCTACGACTATGTACGACTAGAGCCACCCCTGTGTTAAATAATACTAACAATATTAACAAATGCAAGCAGTACTTTGTCGTCAAATTTAATTGCTTTAAATTATAAGAAGTTTTAAACACGAAATGCAACTATATATAGTCAAGCTATAACTCAAGGAGCCATCGAAGAGACCTTGGAATGATTCATTCTAAGTTTATCAACAAAACTTTGCTTACGAAGCTTTATATAGAAACATAAATAAGAAAAGGACTTCCTCTGTGTTCTTGTTTCTCCAGGATTTTAACTGGCAACGTGTTTTCCAATGAGAACTTGGTATAAATAACAATTTATTAACATGCATTCCAGTACTGAATGAAATTCATTCACGGAAGGAAAGAGGGTATTGCGTGTGTTAAAACTCAATAGTTCTTACTAAATATTTATATTTTAATTAAATCACTATACCTATATTTGCATTTCGTCAATAAATCACTATGTCACAGCATCATTTTCCTCTTTAAACAAATCAGCAACATTACACGTGAAGCTTTCGTAAACCATGAAAATATTCTTACCCCCATAGGAATTATTTAAATGAATATTATCATATACACATATATTGTGTATAATGTATATACGTATAAAAAATTTCGGTAGATATACGAATCTATGTATACCAAATTCATACGATGAATATGAATGCGTATTCATCATATGAAATTGATCGAAATTTTTTTTGATCTTCGGTAATGTGGTACAGAAAACAACGATGATAATGGTCACAGGCTGATTGTTTTTATCATCACAAAAATTTCACTTATTAGCTCTAATTTCATACCGAAATCTAAGTTAAATAGTTCATCTATTATGCAATTTTTCAAACTCGTATTCGAACTCCAACGAATTATAAATCGATCTTAAACTAAAACGTCCATTCCCTCGTGCTTTTCGAATTCAAATTGCATCAAAATTGAGTACGGTTAGATGTAACGACACAAAAGCTCAAGATAGACGTACTTGCTCGAGTATTTCTATAAAATTAAAGAGTTTTTCACCGATTGGTTTTTCTTACGATAAATAAGCATCGATAACGATAAATCAGTTGTAAAGCATTAAACTAATGTTCCTTTGACCAATTAGTTAAATCAGTGACTTCGTTCGATGCGTTGCTGTTGCTTTCATTTAAAGCACTAACAACGCGATACACGTATAATATTTACTATGTCTACGCGTACGTCCCGTTAAACGCAATTAATGTGAACATTTCAATGTCATGAATAGAATATAACAATATGTATACATATATAAAAAGAATATACAGACGATATCTGGTAAATAGTAACATAAAAATACAATTACAAACAGCCCATTATTTTCACGTGGAATAGCTTAGAACTTAATAGCAAACTCTGAATGCCAATATTTTTGGTTTATAGTTTTTCAGAACCACATCATGCCCAATTCTCGAGGAAAAGATCACCTGCGTTTCACGATATCGCTATGTCGAAATGAGAGACATTGTATTTAAAAATAACGAGATTAACTTTGTATGTCGAAAGATACAATCCAAAAATATGTTTTTAGTATCTGAAAATATGAAATGATTGCAATTACAGTTAAACATATATGTACGTAGCATGATATTTTGTAGTACGTCATATTGCTCGCAATATTCACAGTGTGTACGTATAGTCTATCGCTACTTGACCAAACGACAGAAGTCAAGTAGATACTATTTAGTTTATTCAACTTAAAATAGCTTTAGCAACACACTATTACATCTTTCAGTTATTCCGCTTAGTCGAGCATAAAATAGAACATCTTTCAGCTGTACGAAAAAAAAATTATTTTAAATTTGCAGGAAACTAACCGACTATGGCGATTGCTTTCTGATCGTAAATACACCATACTGTGTTTGCAATGATCCATATGGAGAACATTACCCTGTAAGAGGGAATGACCTATGTAGGAGACATTTACAATTCTTTATAATACAAGGATTAGTATTACTCAGCACGTGCGCGAATACGTCGAATAAAATGGCGAATATAATTGGCCATTAACAAGAGAAGGCCCCTTTACTAGTTGGAAGCCATTATACGCGATAGTAAAATTAACGGTTCTTTCCAGTTGCTCTGTTTACCATGGTAGTATACTTTGATTACCGGTCAGCTACACCAAATTGCATCTTTGCGACGTTAAGTGGTTGGATGGTACGAGCTAATCAATGCTGCATCTACTGGTTCCATACATGATGGGCATGTCAGCGAACGTAACAACCAATCGTCGATACAGAGCGCATGATAAGTGTGCATACAGGGTAAATAACGAACTTCCTCTCCGATCACCAACTCCATCATACATATCACACATTCTCCCTTTTTAGTTCCATCATATTCCCGCATAGGCAAGTGTTGGATAAGTCCTATACGTTTTGCGACTAGTACTTGCTGCTCTTCTTCGCTCAGAGTACCAGGTCCACTGGTTGGTCCTAATGTAACACCGATACCAATGCCTTGGTGCATTCTTGGTACACTTGATGGATAAGAAAAGCGAACCACCTCCTATGGAATTGGAAGCAAATAAGAATTTTACTTCAAATAATTAAGAACAATTGATATTATAAGAACATTGATATTATAGGTTTTTTATTGCAAAAAGATAACGTAGGCATCATATTGGGCATTTTCTTTTGTTCAACTTTACTTTCTGTAAAGGAGTATATAGAAATCTGTTTGAAATTAATTATCTTTTGTACTATAGATAGAAAGAAAGATCAATCCAGGCAGAAATTACAGTTTTACTTAAATAGTTTACTCAATCTTCAGCTATTCAAAAATGATTTTATATTGTCAGTTTATTGAATGCTCATTGAATAACATTATTCTTGATCTTTGTTCCTGCGCGCGATACATCGTATTTATATAATTCAACTTAAACAGAAAGTATATAATTAACCGCGTAAGTGGAGGACTTACTGTATATTAATAACTTCGCTACCATAAAAACAAAAAGAGAAATCGGGGACATCGAGGAGAAATACTGTTGCCGAGGGTCGATGCGTTCGTACGTTTCGCACAGATAAGAGACGAACAGAATTTTTGTACAGTCGAAGGTGGAATAAAAGAAATGTAATTACGTTAGTGAGCATCGGAGGTCCGAGGCCTTCCTGCGAAGAACCAATAGCCAACGAAGGATCGGGATTATTACCCAACAAATTGGTGTTGTCTTGTTGACTGCCTCCAGCACGCTTCAAACAATTTCCCATTTTGATGGAAAGTCGCGATTTCGCGTTTCACGAACAACACGTTCACGACTCGTTTAATCCCAACGTCGATTAGAAAATCGCGACACCACCGACGTGGGATATTGCTAGTTCTGTCCCCATCGTAAACAGTTTATTTTTGCGTCGATTCTCGCCAAGGGAGCCGTTCTGGTCGTACCGAACGCGATGACAGTTCGTGTCTCGCGTCAAAATACGGTGGCGCAAACCTTCACTAGCAAAACATCTTCCGTCACGTACCCGTACTACAGCTGAGCGCTTTACACGTCCAACGAGATGCGAGCAAATAAAAAAAAAGCAGGCCAGTTACTCACAGGTTGTGTGTGGAAAAAAAAACACTTTTCACACCTATCGTGCGACGTTCTTTAAACGTTTAGTACACACAACGCCGCTATACTTCGTCCGTTGAGACAATGGGCTCTGGTGACAGAACCACGTGACTTCACTCAGGACCGAAATGGCGGGATGCTGGGCCTTGGATAAACGAACATTGAAGTTACAAATAATTTATAACAATTACAGTTGTGCAGTAAAGAAGCCATAAAGAGAAAAGATATAAAGATATCAAATAAAGTATGGTTCGGGTTATTAAACATTGTAAAAGTAGGAAAGATATCAAGAAAAAGGTGTTTTCCTCGTTCTCCAAAAATTACATCTTCGTTACTTGACATAGATAAACACAGAATTCTAACATTTAGGAATATTTATTAATGAACGTCCGCTCATTGGTATTTTGAACAATTACTCAGATTTTTTTACGAATTATGATTTACTTTACGATACATCCCTGGCGAGAGATACAGAGAACCAATGAGATTTCGTCGCGAATCACGTGGGTTTTGTAACCAGAGTATATTGTCTCACTGGATGGATTATAGCATCCCGCTGCGTAAAACCAGATTGAATATATTTTGCTGTGATTCGTCATCGCAATCATATCGCATCTTACATCGTCCAATCAGCGAAAAAACGTTTGCAGAAGCGTTATTTAATATAACACCCGTTCGAAAAACATTAGGTTTGGCTGGAGGTATCGATATATCTCGAATGTTGAATGCTACGATTTAAAATGAGCGGGCGCTTCAAGATTCTAAAACATAACAATTAGAAATTGTTTAATCTTGTTAAATCTTCAAATTAGATTAATAAATGTATTACAAATATTTAAATATTGTATATTATATCAAATAATAATTTAAGAATTTTATTATAGAAAATATATCGTTATTAATACTATCTGTATTTGAGTTTTGTTTCGACTAGTACAGTTGGGAAAGAATCACCTTGATTTGAAAAATAAACTTTGGAGTTTTGATAACATAATCATTTAAGTTTAATGACACATATGAATCTAAATATAATTTGTAGATATATACATACAATTGTACGTTAATTATTCGAAGTAACAGGTAGATGCGTTCGTTTCTACAATCAATTTTAGAAATCCAAAGTTCTAACTATCTATAAAACACGATCATTTTTAAACATGAGTGTTTATCGGGTAGATATATAAGCAAATTGTAAACACAATACAATAAGTAAATTAATAATCCTTTAATCCCATTTGCTTAATGTTTTACTTAACGCATTTTTTATTAACAATAAAAATTATTCCAGGAATCACTACATGCTCATACACGCAAAAGTTCCACACGGAATGAATTAGTGTTCCTAGAACAGGAGGGGGAGGACAGGAAGGAAGATGATGCGGCAATAAATTAAAATAAATTTAATTTATCATGAAATTTAGTTATTCAAATTAAATATAATAAGATGTCTTACTGAAATGTATTAGGATCTTTTAATAAACAACAATCTACGATTTCCTTAGTTTCCAGACGGGTACTTTATTCGAGCTAAAATCATTGCGATAACACGATCATTAGGCAATAATTTGCATAATTCTTGGTATGCAGAACAATTTTTGTTTACACACGTCGTCGTAAACATAGAGCTTTGATCTTTGTTTAACGTTCCGTAAGTAATTTTAAACCGCGTCATTTTTGTCGGCCTTGAACACTGCGATCTGATATGGTATACTTTCGTTAATCGAAGGGGTTCCATTGACCAATAAAATTGTTCGATCTAAAACTCATGACCTTCGAACGATTCCATTTTCTTTTCGATCTCTACTAAACTTTACACATCGTACAGCGACAGATATTTTTTTATATGAAAATCCCAAAGGCCAACATTAATGGCGTTCCCTCTAGCATTTATTCAGACATCCCAGTACTCATTCTCTATAATTTCTGACTCATTATACAAACTTCAGTGCCATATAATAACGTCCAATTATGCAAATCTAACACATTGTTCCTTCTATAATTTGTACAAGCTCATCGACCCATGCTTGAACTCTTAAATGCGAGAATGTTAAACAGATGAGGACAGTTATTTTGGAAGGCGCATGCAAGTAACGAGAGACTCTTTCGTCCCTAATACTGCAACTGATAAACACGGCATTGTCGAACGTCCCGTTATCGCGGCACAGAATTGAAATCGTAATAATAAATTTCGATACGTATTCCACGAACGTTACCGCAAGGATCATATACAGTCCGGGAATGATCGTTTCTCGGGTTTATCTTATCTTCTACGAAGACCCTTGACCCCTTACAAATATAAAAAAAACAAGAAGACCTTTGGCATCGGATCCTCTCTCCCCCTCCAAGAGGGCTACTCCAGTTGATTCGGTGTTGTTAGCCATTCGGTCGGTGAACACGGTCAGGGCAGGAAGCACTTATTTAACCGATACACAGTGTACACGGGCTGCTTCCCATCGAGCGTGCCGTTGCCCGTTTTGCACCCCCAATCGGGCTCAGTTCGATCTTTCCGCTCGATCAGCGATCTCCTCTGCGATTCTTTACTTGCAACTTTTTGCGGATATCCTCGATACGGTACGATTTCACTCAGCACGATTGCGTTTCAACAACGTTTCGTTTTTTTTTTTTTTTTTTTTTACGTATTCTTTAAGTAGTTCTTTCGTTTCGTGTAATTCAATCGGTGCTGAGCGTCGACGAGCTGCGTCAACGATAAAAGTTCGTATCGGTATAGCTACTCGAGGATTTGCAGCAATTAACCACGATCGTTCTTCGATAGTTTTAATTAATAGTGCTTTGGAACGGTAGTTCTTCGTCGTTATGTGAAATTATCAAGTGATTGAAAAAGAAATTGTGTCCAACAGATTCTTGATTAGCTATACTGAGATAAATTTTTATTTCTGAACCACCACTTTTTCAACCCGTGATTTTATATCCTGATCTGAAAGTTACGCGTGGACGTACAGTGCGAGAAATAACGGAAGTAAACGGAGCTCCCCTTTCTTTCAAATTACAGCGTCGAAACGCGATTGTCTTTCGCGCAGTGGAACGTTCGCGTGAATCGAATCGTTCGGTGATAGAATGGAGTAGAAGAGTGTACTCGTGGATAAAGGGATGAAGAACGTGCCGAGAAAGGAGTGACGATCTTGACCTCGGTGATTACCGGAAGCAGCAACATGACTCGCGATCGAAGATCGTGGAGCAGCGTGGCGATCCTTTTTGTCGCGATCTGCGTAGTGATCGATACGGTGCAGACAGGTAAAAAGGGTTCTTAAATAGACTGTGTGCTATTGTTTACTTGAATGCAACCTCAAGTAGACTATATTAACACTAAACCTACCGATATATTCATCTATATCTATTCCCACTGGTGCAAGCATATTTCACGCGATGTTATAATAAATTTATAAATTCAAAGGTACATGAAACAATTGTATACATGTAATTCATATATTGTATATAAGAACTGTACATGGAATTTTAAAAACTGTTGTTTGACCAATCGTGGTAATTTCAGTGTTAATTAACACTTAAATTGAATAAATTAAGACTGGTCGCTCTGCCTTTGTATTGATTAAATACGTAAAATTGTGTAGTAAATTATATAGTAAATTTATAATTACAATTTCAATTATAATTTATTACGTAAATTATATAGTTTTGTAAATAACCGTACGTACTCAGCCGCGTGCTATAGGTTCGCTACCCTTGACGTAAAACTACCAATCCCCATACCAATTTAATTGAATTCGGCGTCTGCCGCTACTGACCCTCTCTTGTCAGAGTCGTCGGAAGCTGAACGACACTGCGATTACTTTATCAACGTTTAACGATCGTACTTTCTTCGTCCCTCTGTTATCTGTGGCGCGTGTTATTCGACGCTCCATTCCGAGAAGCTGCATCGAGTGCACAGTTCGCATATCGGTCACGTTATCGGTAGAACGTAACTTCCATTCACAACACGCTTTCCAAGCGAACCGATTTCTACGAACGACCGTTCCAGTCGAAATTTTCACCGATCTCGACGCTAATCTTGTTTCAGAGATCGTCAAGGACCTGACGCCCTGCAGTCGCACGAAATGCAAAGGTAAATGGAAATGTACAATTAATTATTGAACACAAATTACTATCCGAATTACAGAATTATATATTTTATTATTAACGACTGTAAATTTCACTGACTATCCGTATGCAATCTGATCCGTTCGAATAAAAGTTTGGCCATCTCAGCTATGGTTAGAGATTCAAAGATGGAGTATATTTGCAGTTCCAGCGAGCAGGAAGTTCAAATATCAAGAGGACGTCTCCTACTGGTACAGATACTCTGTGGACGTCAGCACGAATCTAGGAGGCCCGTCGGGTCATCCACGAAACGAATCAACCCTCCGCCTCGACGCCGACCTGGTCGTTCGGTTCACCAGTCCCTGCGAGGGAAGTCTGACATTCCGCAACGCTAGCCTAAGCCACGATCCCCGAAAGTATAATCCAAGGTTCCCCGATCGTGCTGGTGCAGAGTTCAAGACGAATCTAGAACGATTCGCCCTAAGATTCTCATTCGACGATGGACGGATAGAAGAGCTATGCCCGGACAGTCAGGATCCAATTTGGGCGTTGAACCTGAAGAGGGGAGTTCTGTCGATGCTCCAGAACTCCATGAAAAGGTTCGACGTGGACCATCGAGAGGACGAACTGGACGTGAACGGCCTCTGCAAAACGTTCTACCACTTTCACGGGGCCAAACGCACGAGCCTGGTGGTGAAGAAGACGAAGAACCTCTCTGATTGCGTGTACGGGTCCAAGCACTTCTCTATTATTCAATCGAACGTCTACAGGAGCCCCAGGTCGAGTTCTCGAATCGCACAACATCCTCTTCTGCAGTCTCGAAGCGACTGCGAGCTGATCATCGATCACAACGTTTACCAGGAGGTCGTTTGCAAGGATCTGCATCGGTTCCAACCGCTTTCGAGTGGTAGCACGGGTGCGAGAACCGAGTCTACCGCTGTGCTTAGATTGATCAGAGAAACTAAAGACGACGAGGACGAGGAGAATAACGACGAGAACGAGGAAGAGGATTATAATAGGGGCACCAGAGGATGGAATCGCGCGAAGAGGACCGACTTGGTATACGATTATTCGAAAACACCCAGGACTATACACGGGGAGCTGAGATCGTCCAGGGATCTTCTGAAAACGATGTGCAAGCTAGGGGTGAACATGGACGAGCTCCAACAACAATTCCCCGAAACCTTCACTGGGTTCGTTCACTCTGCACGATTGCTGGACTACCCGTCGTTGTCGCAGCTGTTCGCCAGGGCCAACAGTATTTGCAAAACTGGAAAGTGAGTAGGAGCTTGTTGTTTGAATGCAAAATAAGAATGGGGGAGACGGTATTTGAGGAAATACTCAAAACTCGACCCTGGTAAGGACAACGTTGGATACAATTTATGGCACGGGGATAGGACTGTTCTGTTGCTTTTAGAGATTACGTGCGGATGAATTATTAGTTTACGACTTGGAGGAGCCGGAGTTTTCGTATGAGTTTACGGAGTTAGGATTTTCTCGTTGAATAGGTGACCAATTGGATGACCAATTGCTGCCTCGACTTCGAGACCGAAGGACAGGCGGGAGGGCCCTAACGGATTAGAGGATTAGCTGGTTTTTCTAGTAGTTGAATCGTATACCTGGCAGTAGAGGAAGTAGTTTCGTAGGTCAGAGGATAATTCAATTGTTCGAAAGACAAATCTCCTAGGACTTAATTTCTATTTCGAATATCTATATCTTTTCTCTTATACTCTTACATGATAGTAACTATCAAACTCGACGATGTTAAAAATATAACATTCCAACCAACGTTATTCTAATCAATGTTCACATATTCTAAAGCAATGGAGGTATAGTACACTATCGTGGCACAAAGTTATCCCTTTTATCTATAGGACTATATTTATAGGATAGTTCTCCTTTTCTAGAATATCTGACGAGCTTTTTATTCTTATAAAATCTATTTTTGTACTCCATAGAAAACACATCGTGGATGCTCTGCCATTCTTAGGCAGCAACGCAGCCGTGAGCGTGATGAAGGACCTCATAATGAAAAGATACATCAACCATGGGACAACAAACACCTGGGTGACAGCCTTCGCGCTGATCCCACGGCCGAATCAAGAGATGATCGTGACTCTCTCGCCCTTGCTGGAGTTTCAGAGTCACATCCCAGAGGCTCAGTTCGTTTTGAGTTACTCCGCCATGATTCACGCCTTCTGCTCCACTCATGAAACCCGATGCAACGACGTCGAGCAAGTGACGCGGTTCGTGTCGTACCTCGAGCAGAAAATCGAGAAGGGTTGCGCACGTAGAACCCATTCGCCCTCCACGATCAAGGATGTACGTCACATTTAAATTTCACGCTAGTATTCGAGACGTGTTTTTAATATTTTCGTGGCGTATTTTTAATATTTTCGTGGCACATATTTTTAATTTTAGACTATGGAAGCTTTGAAAGCAATTGGGAACATGGGACTGGAGACGGAAAGCTTAATGAGACGGTTGAAAGAATGCATAGATGACTCGAGCGGATTCCTTTCGATGGAAATTCGCGTCGCGGCTGTCGATGCCCATCGCAGGATGCCTTCGTGCGAGAAAACCCGGGATCAATTCTTCTTGGACTACTACAGGAACTTTACCTTGGATACGGAAATACGAATAGCGTCTTATTTGCAAGTGATGCGCTGTCCCGACTACAATGTTATTAAAACGATTAAACACACTCTCAAGATGGAGGAGATCAATCAAGGTGACGAATTCTGTAGTTCAGCGCTTTCCAAACTACCTTAGTTATAATTAGACTGCGGATCTTTATGCATTTATAGGAAATTTGAATGTGCAAGAAACTACAAAATCTACACAGTATACTGTAATATAAAAAATATTGAAAGTAGAGTTTATATTATATTATTTACAGAGTAAAATGAATTCCTATGTAGTTTCAATTTTTGTAGGTACGTTTGCTATGATTTTATTTTGCATAAAGATCCGCAGTCCAGTTATAATACACCTAATCTGACGAAACATTCAAGCAATCGCGTAGTTTGGAAAACGTTGCTATAGTTGCTCTCGACCGCGGTGCTTTGTTAACAGCAGAATCTCTGGTTATAGTTGGCACCTTCGTCTGGAGCCACTTGACGAACCTCTACAAGTCTGCCTCGCCGACGATGGTGAATATCCAGAGTCTTTTAACGGACAGGGATCTGAATAACAAGTTCAACAGCGACATAAGAAAGTTCTCGCGAAACTACGACGGGTCGTTCTTCTCAGAGGAATACAATTTCGGGGCGAACTATCAAGGGAACCTGATCTTCTCGCCCAGGTCGTACATACCGCGTTCAGCGACGTTCAACGTCACCTTGGACCTCTTCGGCGAATCTGTGAACGCCTTCGAGCTGTCCACGAGATTGGAGGGTCTCGAGTATTACGCGGAGAAGTTCTTCGGACCGGATGGACTGTACAGTGGCGAGAAAATGTCGGAATTCTTCAAAGGTTTCCTCAGGACTCTAAGATCGGCACCAGAAGAGGACTACTGGAAACGCGCGAAACGACTGCCTAACGTCATCGACAATAACTTTGATAATCCTAGAATCAGTCTTGGTTACAAAGTACGTAATACTACGCGATAGTTGAGGTAGTATTACCAGACACCCTTGTTCGCACTCTGATAATTAATCGTATCATTTTTACCTTTACTCAGGTGTTTGGAAATGACTTGAAGTATCAGGTGCTGAACAACGACGAAGAAATCAGAGAAGCCTTGACAGAGTTGAACCCATGGGAGAAATTCAAGCAAATCGTTTCTGGAAAGGAAATTCATTACGAGAATGCGGTAATGTTCTTGGATTCCACGTATGTGGTGCCGACGACTTCTGGTTTACCTGTGCGTTTGGATTTCGCTGGTTCCGCGGCCTGCAACTTCAAGATGTCAGGGTTACACGATATCAAACGGATCTCCAGCGGGGAGATCGAAATCATCAGCAACCTCGCGCCAAGGTATTCGTAGAATAAATATATTTACGGTCAGTTCGTAAATATTCGTACCCCTAAGAAATTTGTTTTAAATTAAGTAATTCATATAATACATATGTATAATACATTACAATAATACATTCTAAGTGTATGTTTGTATAAATATGTTGATGTATATATAAATACAATGTATACATGTAAAAACTCATTTGATAATATCAAAACTGTTATTTAATTTAGTCAAACTTCTTCGATAGACATAGTAGGGGGTACGAATATTTACGGAACTGTCTGTAAATAAATATAATTCTATTCGTCTTTCGTGGTTGCCTTCTGATTCTAAAGGATGTTATTACTCTCCTCTCTGAACAGTATAAGCGTCGACGTGGTGAGCAGCATGACTGTAGACGCCTTCTACAAGACCGCTGGAATAAAATTGCGATCGAACGTCTACACCTCTGGAGCGGTCCAAATTCATTTGGAGGTAAAGGGCCTGCGTTTGGTACGACTGAGCTTGGGTCTCCCGAATAAAAAGATGGAGGTGTTCTCCATTGGAACGGACATAGTTCTGACCAAGGGCAACGGAGCCCAAGTGGAGGAAAGGCCGCTGGGCGTGTTGATAGCTGGCCAGAACGACAAGAATGCGAAACAGGCGATCATGCGAGGTGACGTTATCAGTAACACGAGCTGCAGTTGGTCCGCCCTCGACAAGCTCGTGGGATTAAAGATGTGCGTCGATTACCAGCTATCGAATGTGACGAAGAAACCCGACGCGCCGTACTTTGTCCTGAGCGGGCCCATGCTCTTCAAGATCGCGTTAATCAAGGCTGACACTACCGCTAAAAACTACTTGCTAGAGTACAAGTGGGAGAGAACAGAGGTATCGTCTCTCTTGTTCTCGTTATAGGGTGTCTCAGAATTAGTGTAAGAATTTCTCGTTAATAATTCAAAAACGGAGTACCATCCGATGCTTCTGTAAAGGAAATTGTGGTTCAGAATCGTCTCAGCTACCCCCTATTTCCGGTTCTTACACTAATTCTGGGATTTAAGGAATCCTGGAGCCCTGTACATAAGGAAGAGCGATATTTACCAACTGATGTAACGATGTCTTATTACAGAAACAAAACCTTTTCAAAATCATGTTCGATACACCTGGGTCACAGGTGAACAGAGAATTGAGTGCCACTGTGTCCTTCGATGAAGGAACGCACAATGCTCTCGTTCTGCTGCGATCCGCTGGAAATTCGTTGGTGGCTGAAGGTAAACGATGGTTAGCAAGGATACCGGTTCAAGTCTGAGTCTCATGGTAAAATCGAAATTCTTTCTTTCAGGCACCTATAAGAACACGGAAAACGAGACGTTTATAGACATAGGTTTCGACATAAACGGTACCAAACACTTCGACGCCAGCCTGGGTTACTCGACCAAGAAGTCCAATTATGGTTACACTTACAGTCCGCAGATGCATCTGATCGTCAACAACGAGCGAATCGCTGCTCTGTCAGGTATTAAAGAACAATTTCTTTCTTGACAGATATAACATAAAACTCTAAAGTTCATACATAGAGAGTTACCTAATCGCTGATACTTGATTACCAAATCTCTTTGAAAGGGACGATAAGAAACGCCCACAAGAACAACGTGTCCCAGTGCGATGTATACTTGACCTTCCAAACGAAGAAGATGTGGAGTAAACTAACGGGTTACATCGTTCGAAGGAACGTGAGCGTAGCTGCTGACTTTCAGCTGAAGTACCAGCTGCAGAAGATGCTCAAGAAGGAAACGCTTCAGTTGGAAATATCATTGTCCAATCGGTCCTGGAGGACGCTGACTCACAAGGCAGCTGATCTGAAGCTACGTTCCACCGCGTATCCGCAGTTAAACGCTGTTATAACCGCGTGGTATCGGCAGGCTTTGGGTCACTTGGAGTTGCATGCAGAGGTCAACTCGAAGCCACATCTGATGGACGACCGACACAAGCTCACAGCGCAATTGATACTTTCGTACTCGAAAATGTATTTTCAAAATCGGGACACGAAAGTGAGCGCGTCGATCTCCATCACGAAGCCCATACAGAACTTGGACGTTAAGATGAGCGTCGATCACTACTCCATGGGGCCAGAGTCGAAGAGCAGCTTGATGATAGGATATGCCCCAGGTTGGTCGAGTCGTTCCACTTTTTCTTTTTAGAAAATTATTATAGCGATATTAGAACACCTTGTTAAAAATACGTCAAGTATGGGCCTAAACTTGAAACTCTCTGTCCATCCAGGAAAAGTAATCAGTCTAACGGTGATCCTGATAATGCCGCGAGGTCTGATGTTCGCCTTGGAAGGTCACACGAACCTGACGATCCCGAATTTCAACTCCATGCTGGTGGACGTTCGAATAATAGAACGCTCGAAGCGTACCTACGAACTTGATCTCAGTGGAACTTGGTTCAGCGGGCACAACGTGACGGCTCGCGGTACCTATTCCGACCGGTCCGTGGCCACCGTCATCAGCCACAATCTGAAGCTCAACCTGAAGTCCCCGAGCTTTCCCAGCGACGTTCTTGTGAATTGTAAACTGTATAAGAATTATAGCGATGTCAGGATCAATCTACACGTGGATCATGTGGGCAGGGACAAGTACGCGTTCATTCTGAACCACACGGTGTCGTCACCGACGAACATCATGACGTACGTTGAAGGACGGTACAAGAACAACGTGTACTCTTTGATGACGTACGTCGATATGGAACGAGAGATACGCATGGAGATGCACATGGACAAATGGAGGGACATTCATCTGGCGTTAACGGGGATCAACGAGAAGAACAGAAAAGAATTTGGCGCGGAGGTGAAGTGGGATGCGAACAGAGATCCCGCGTTGAAGGCTGTGATATTCCTTGAGTTGGACAGAGTGGTGGTCTCAGAGATCGAGGACCACTTGCCAGAGAAGAACCTCAGCGCCGTTGTCACCTTAGCTTACCCTGGTCGTCTCATCACTGGCTCCTGTCGAGTGGCCTCGAAGGGCTCGTACAATTATATTCTGGACGCGGCGGTCGACTGGAACCCAAACAAAGCGATCAAGCTGTTCGTCGCGACAGAATATGACGTGCAGCCGTGGGTGAAGTCGGTGAAGGTGGAAAGTCAGTTCCTCACGCCGTTCGATTATTGGAGAAAGACAGCTTTAATCGCAAAGTAATCCTCCCGACCATTTTCATAACGAACAGCTCGTATCCTCTTTTTGCTTGAACACTCTTAACACATTGTTAACACACTAGCATTATCTATTTCAATTTATGAAACCCAGAATATTGCGAAAGCTTTGCACATCGTGTTTAGTCCTGTCGGTTTTTTGATCCTTTGTTAACAATAGAATATACTTTTCTAAGCATTTAGGTTTATATTACTCGGTAGTTTATTCTATTACGAAATAATAACCGATGACATGAAGTCTCGTCTGTCTAAAATTACCATTTTAATCCCATTACAGATACCAGCAGGAACGAAACAGGATCAGACTAAGCGCTGGAGCTCATTGGAAGGATTCGGAACACTTGCTGGTAAAATTCGACGGCAGCATGTACGAGCACGAGAAGATGAAAGAGTGGAAGGCCAACTGCGGCGTGACCAGCTCCGTGCATTCCATCTCCTGGACCACCGTCAACGTCACACACAAGATCATCGAATCAGAAACCGCTGACACTCGTCTATTGATCAAGTACAACCCCGACAAGGTGATCGAGGCGTGGAGCATCTGGTACCTGGACAAGGAGCACGACAACGTCTTCAACATAACCGGTAACCTGCACCTCGAGTCTCCGGTTACCAGTTACAGGAAGTCCGACATGAGGTGTCAGCTGCAAATCCTGCCCGATTGGAAGTTCCTAGGCGCGGCGAACTTAGACCTGGACAAGAGAACATACACAGCTAAGCTGCTTGGCGACCTTCGCCGTTTCAAGGAGTCCACCGTGCAGTTTAACGTCACCACACCTTTGGAGAAATTCTCTTACGTTCGTGGACGATTTGGCCTGTCGGAGAGCAACAGACACGTGGTGGCGGAGGTGGTGGTCCCGAGCGGTCCCATCGGTTTCGAGGCCCTCTGCCAGTTCCTCACTGCAGAATACAACTTCAACGTGAAGCTGATGCTCGCCACGCCGTTGGAGCTGCTTCAGAGGACCCTCCTCGTGGCCAAGCTGAACAATCGGGAGGCTGACTTTAGAGTCGCTTACAATAAAATGCTCGCTGGCTTCCAGGGCGTCTGGCACTACAGAAGCATCACCGACTTGCACTACAGCTACCTGCTTTTCACGCCTGTCCGCGGCCTCGAAGAAATTGGAGCAGTCGCGAAGCTGTTCGCGTCGAACGCCGAAGATCAGAAGTGGGACGTCGACACAGAGTTTACCATCAGGTTGGCGGATGTAAAGTTCGGCGCAAAGGTCAAGGCCGGTCCGAAACCACCCCCCGTTAATATACCGATCAAAGCACCGACGGAAGTTGCGGGTAACTCGACGTCAGAGGACGAGGATTACGTCGAGTTCGAGGATGACCAAGAAGAGCGTAGTAGTTCTTATTGGCACGGGGAAGTCGAGATCTACCCTGCGATCATGGAACCTATTCTAGGAGAGCTGGACATAGACAACGACGGACCGCAGTACAAGATTTACGGTACGGCGCGATACTTCCAAGGGAAGATCGTCCTAGACGACACGTTCTTCATAGAGGATTTATTCAACATGAAGAACGAGCTGAACTTGATCACCCCGTTCAAGCTCTTCAACGAGCTCGTCTGCCTGAACGTGTTCGTCGTGGACATGGAGAAGATCGACTACGTGATGCAATTCGCCGTGAACGTGAGGCAAAATAAAACTTGGATCGAGACAGGCTTAGACGTGAATTACGTTTGCAGCGAGAGCGAAACGGACGACTCGCAGACGCACTTCGTCAAGCTCAACGTCAAGACCCCTCTGACGTTTCTCAAGTTTCTCAACACGAGCACTACAATGAACGTCGACGAGAACTTCTACAAGGCAACGGTGGGTATTCGTGCTCCAGACTGCGCGATAGACGTAGTAGGATCGCTGAAGACCGAAGAGGCGATCGTGGACGCAATCGTGGAGACCAAGATCGACACGCCGATGCTGCAACTGCCAAAATCCGTCATCACCGTCAGGAGAAACTTCACGACCGCTGAGAAGTACGTGAAGATCACTGGCGAAATTGCAGAGCCTGTTTCTAAATCAGTATCCCTCCAATCGATATGGTTCCTGACTGATGACCAGATGAAGACCACTGTTGTCTTGAAGACCTGGATAGAGTCGCTGGAGAGCATCGAAGCTGACGTCGCGTACACGAACGCGATTGCAGCCAACGACTCTGCAAGGCTGGCAATCTATGTGAAACACCTCGAGGATCGGGTGTACAAGCTCTTAGGAAACTACAACGCTGGAGCAGTCGTTGGCAAACTTTATACTCCGTCTCTATCCGAGCCTCATTACGAGTTTCAAGGCGACGTGAAGAAGTTAAACGACACTTTGTACAATCTGGAGGGCGAATTGACGAACGCTGCGACCAAAGTCACGCGCAAGGTATCCGCCACGATCATCTGCTCTAAGGACACTGTGAACCTAATGGCGAAGTCGAAGACTGCGACTGACGTGGACGATTTCGTACTGAACCTGAAGAGGGAGAAGTATGGCATAAACGCGACTCTGGTCAGTGGTTCTCTAAACAGTACTTTGGATGCGAATATGATCAATTCGTTGAACTGGGACTTGAGAGCAGGAGCAGAGACTCTCGAGAAGTCAGGTAAAAGAAACAAGGTCCAGCTCACCGCGTTTATGAACGTTCAAGTGAACGGCAATGCGACTCTGTATGTTCGCGCTGAGACGCCTTTGAAGGACATTAGGAATCTCACTCTAAGCGGGAACATGATGCTGACCAATGATAGCGGCGAGGTTCGAGTACGCAACAGACTAAACGAGAACACTCGTCACGCGACTGTGCAGTGGAAGCTGGTCTACATGGTGGACATGTTCGGGAGGATTCTCATCGGATACGAAACGAAGGACCTGGGCACCAGGGACGTCGACACTCGGTTGTTCTTCAAGAATCCTAGACGAGCTTTCAGGAACGTGGACGTTGGATTCGACGTGGACGTCGATCGGGAGAAGTGGAAATTCGCGGCGAACGCCACCATCGGGTTCAGGAACTACGAGAACATCGACGGAGTCTTCATCGTCAGGCTACCACCCCCCGACAACGACGACCATCGGTTTTTGATCAGCTACCACGCGAACGGTGGCGTCAAGGACACGTCGTACGTGATAGGGTACAACACCGTGCACGCTAAGACGAACTACGCCTCGGATGGATCGGTTAGTATTAAATGCAAAGCAGTTTCCTGACATTATCAGATGAAATTACTATATGTACGCAATCACACTAGGGCTAGAAGTTGCTAAGGTCGTTATTTAAAATTTGTACAGATACACATGGGCCCCCGAGACATCAACGGCCACCTTCGAGCATCCTGGGGAATGCTACCCGTTCAGTCTGTTAACAACCTCTTCAACATGACCTTCGACAACAAGGAGATAGGACTCAAGTATTCGCTCTACACCCCTAGATTCCAGCAGCAGGAGACGCTGGTGTTTCTGTTCGATTACGATGCCACCCATGACACGAATATATGTCTGATAAGCGCGGACGTCTATTACCCAGCCAGCACGCAAATCGGTTCGGCGAACGTGTCGTACGAGAGTCTGGTGAACGTCAATGGAACCATCAACGCCGTTCTACCTGGAATGAACGTCTCGCAAATTGGATGTCAATTTACCGTTTTCACCACTCTGTAAGTGGAAACTTCGCTTCCGGGGTTTAACATGTTCGCTAGTAGACGGACATGTCTGTAAGAAATCAATTTTATATCTATGTAAAGAAAGGAAGTGAGATCCATAAGTCAATGTTATATTACGTGGACTTTGCCTACTGAATATATTTTATTTTGACACAATCAAAAGCATAGATAACGATAGGCTACTTACCAACTGAATGATGGTAGTGAACGTGCTAATGTGCATTCTAAACATCGCCCCAAATGCTTCATTTATATTCGATAATTTCACTATTCTTTCCTCTATTTCACTCAAGCTTCCCATCCATCTGTTCCAGACAACGAAACAAGAGATACGCCAAGGCCTCCTGGTTACAAAACACGGCGATGGTGGATTCAGACTACACCTACCGCAGCCAAAAGCTGGATTCCGATCTGAAGGGTATTTTTCACGTGGAGGTTCCTCTGAGCACTCGTCACGTGGGTCATATGACCTACGGTTACGAGAAACGACCCTTAGTGACCACTGGTTACTCCGACATGATGTACAACGGAGAGAAGGTCCTTCACGGACTGTACAAGTCCAAGAGCGAGTCCAGAGCTGGTTTCGAGAAGGATCATATACAAATCACAATCGAGAACCCTTACAAACCGATCGGTATCATCTATATAAATCAATACGAGTATAGCGCTGGGAATGAAGGGACTAATTATCCAACCGTGGAATTCAAGCATGTGAATCTGTACAGAATAGACAATAAGACCGCGTTCAACGTGGTTGGCGAATCCAGGGTCAGAACGACTCACACGGGTCAGGATATTCATCTGAAAGCGATCCACTTTAACAGAACCGTGCAACTACGGACGGACTATCAAGTCTTGCCTGGCGAATTCGATCAGAACGCCTCGCTGAGCTTGGCAGAGGACGTGTGGATATCCTATCGCGTGAACATCTTAAACAAAACGACAGAGGACGTGGATAACCAATTCCTGGTGCTCGGCGTGTCCTATCCTCGAAGGAACTTCACTCTGGACGGCTCGTACTGGATCAGCCGCGAGAAGATCAATTCCGAAATAAAGCTCGACTGGGATCGCGAAACGGACAACCCCAGAACCATTGGCGCCCAGTTTAATTGGGCGAACCTCTCATCCGATAACACGGTTGCCCAACAACGAGCCACTTTCAGCTTGAGGCATCCTAGTTTCGCGAAGACGGTCTCCCTGCAAGGAGAGCTGTTTAAAAGGGACTCGAGGGATTTGGTGAACGTTGCTCTTACCGCGGACTATTCCACCGATCCAGACAAGCTTTTCGTACTATCAGGATTCGTCAGGGACGAGAGCAACTTGCCCGAGTCTAGAAAATACGTCTACGAGGTGACTGGAAAGCATCCAAACACGAGGTTTGATCTCGACGTCCGTGGATTCGTTCACAAGCGAGAGATGGTGACGTTCGAGACCGTGAACAATGGCAGCTATCATCGCAGCTTCTTGACTGGCGAGTCCGGACAATTGAACGCTCGTTTGGATGTCGATCGCAGGGAGGTCCTCTTTCAGAGGGATCACAATGATGCGCTTAGATACCTGTACGTTCGGTACTATCCGTCAGAGAAACAGTACGTTTTGAATGGCAGCATGGTGAAAACGCCGGATCTGAACGCCACAGGGGCCTTCTTCTTGGATCCTGGCGAGAAACTGACGTGGATGATGGTTAATTACACACCGGGTAGGTTGCTCACAAAATAAGCGACTACACTGATTCTTAGTTCTGACACTAATAGTTGTATATACAACATTTTTTATTTCTATTTCTTAGAAGACTATACTCACACTTTGCAGGTGCATCGTTGAACCCCTGAAAAAAAACATAGAAACTCGTAGACTTTATTATACCATTTAACTTTTACATCTACGGTCACTCCCATAAATATTCGTACCCCCTATGTCTATTGAAGTGTTTAAATTAAATGACAGGTTTGATGTTTCCATGTGTATGTTTGTATAAATATGTACATGTATAAGCTTATTCATATACATATTTATAATGAAAAATTCATTTGGTAATATCAAAACTATTATTGAATTTAGTCAAACTTCTTAAATAGACATAAAGAGTACGAATACTTATGGGAGTGACCGTATCTCTCTAGAGTTTTATTTATTTGTTAATTACCTTCTGTGTTCAACAGATGCGGTGGAGAGCTTGCGGATGTACGGAAGGATTCCGGATGCCCGAAACGCCGTTTTCGACATTTGGAGAACCTACGAGGACGACTTCACCATATCCGACGTGTCCTTTTACTTGAAGCTGAATCACTCGAGATTGGTTACCTCCACCTTGCGCTGGAGACCTGATCTGAAGAGCGACATTGTTGTACGTATACTTGCTCGAATTCTATGAATTAATAAATCTCCTCGGATAGTTATTCTTTGACGATAACGTATCCTTCGTTTTGCAGACTGGTATCAAACAGGCAGCTGTGGACATGTACAACGAGATGAACAACGACGCCGATTACTGGAAGCAGTACATAAAAAGCGAGACAGTGAGCGTCATCTCCGACGTCTGGGACGACGCTCAGGAAGATCTTCAAGAATTCATCAACGACTGGAAGTAAGTTATGTTGATTTAGTAATGGTATCCATTATGGCAAGGAGTTATTCAATTTGCATAACGCTCAATATCTATATTCCCAGCAACCTCAAGGAGCTGCAAACAGACTTGGACGAGCTGCAGACTTACCTGAACAACTCTTACAACGCGAACGACTTCTACATCAAGGATATCGTCGCATTCGGTATATACGTGATCGACGAGCTCGCTCTGCGAAACCACATACAATCTCTGCCCAACATTCTGAACGAAATATGGGAGATAATGGGCGAATCGGGTCAAGCTATCAGGAACTCGTTGCTTTGGGTCATCGAGACCGTCAAGAACGCGATCAACAAAATCTCCGAAATCGTAGCAGCGATTCTTAGGGGTGACTCGATCACACAGGTGGCGAACATAATCGAGAAGCTGATCGAAAAGTACGATAAGATCGTGAAGGACCTTCACGTCTCGTTCATCAAGTATATCGAGAATCTTTGTGGGAACATTTCCCAAACGATTTCCCAGCAATGGCATCGATTCTTGCTGCGCGTGGAGCCATTGTTTATTCGACTGATACACTATCTGGAAACCGTGGTTTGGAAAGCCAGCAAGGAGGTCGTAGATTTCCTCTACGATCGCGGAAACGACCTTATCGCTTCGCCTTACTTCGATCGGTTCACCAACTTCACCCAGGACATCGACAAGTTCTATCGGGACATCAAGGGCAACGACATCCTGACGAACATTCGGAAATACTCCGGAGTGGTGGTAAAATTCTTCAAGGAGAGGTATTTCGTCTTCGTGCCTTTCGGTAAGGAGCTGAAGGACGTCGTCGACGAGATCGTCACCGAACTGAAGGAACTGCAAAAGTTACCGTCCATACGGTACGCCACGGAGAAGATGCAACAGCTGTACAACAGAATCCACTATGTTTACGATTATCTCGAGATAGGAGCCAAACTAGAAAGCGCTATACGACTAATTCACTCGAAATTGGTAGATGTAAGCTTAACTGCTCTGCAAGCCGAGAGTCAATACAGAGAGGCCAAAACGAAGTTCATCTTCGATCCTAATCAAGGACTGATGTGCTTGGAGCAAAAGCTTCCGATATCCTGGCACGCATTCAACCAGACACCAGAATTTCACGAGGTCCCCGAATTCAGAGCTATCACCGATATCAGATCGCATTTCATGGCCTCGAACTTGACTTTCTGGAGCCTGTATCGGTACAAGTTGTACATGGAACCTCTTAATTGGCTACCACCTTTCAAAGGTAACGAAATTTGTAGATAAAATCATTGCTTTTTTTCTCTTATTTATAACGCGTCGGCTTCTTTTATTTATCGTATAGAACAAGATCAAGACTTGACAACTATATGAATTAAAAACGAATCTATTTCAGCGCAAGCAATGATCGTGGGATCGCAACATTTCACGACTTTCGACGGACGACATTTGGATTTCGTCGGTCCATGCACTTATCTGTTGGCGCGCGATTTCGTGCGCGACACGTTCACCATTCTCATCAAGTACGATCTGCAATCCGATCGAGTTACGCACAAGATCATCATGTTAATCGGGAAAAACGCCATCGAGCTCAACATCTTCAACCACGTCAGTACCCAAGCCCACTTAACATCTTACGATGTACGTCGTGATTTATGTACGATAACATGTTCCTATTTCCAGAGCATCAAAATCGTTTCTGAACAGTCGCCTAGCACCATGAGCAACCTGCAACTCCCCATAGAGCTAGACAACGGAACCACGTACATCTACCAAGCGGAGAACGTCATCACAGTGGAGCGCAAGCAGGACCAGTTAAGATTGGAATGCAACTTAAAGTTCAATCTGTGCACCCTGGAACTGTCTGGCTGGTATCATGGAAAGACTGCTGGAATTCTGGGTACCATGAACAGCGAGCCAATGGATGACACAACCGCGTCGAACGGCCTCGTTCTGAAAGATATCGGAAGATTCGCTGGAAGTTGGTCCATCGAACCTACCGACGAGTGCTCGAGCGAGTCAAATTTGGCGACGACTACGAAACAGGAGACTAACGAAGATGTCGAGCAATTCTGCGACGACCTGTTTGTGAACAAAAGCTCTGAATTCCTCTCCTGCTTCTACGTGGTCGAACCTAACGAGTACTCTACAATGTGCGGCCGCAGCGCGAGCATACTGGAGTCTTGCACTGTGGCATTGTCCTACATGCAATCCTGCGCGTTACATGAAATTTTCCTAAGAATACCCGATGCGTGCACCAGCTGCACCATGATGAACGGTAGCCAAGTGGCAGAGGGTCAGTTCAGACGATTGGAAGACGACAACGTGCCCATGTCCACCGACGTCGTCTTCATCGTCGAAGGGAAAGACTGTAATCGCGACGTCAAACAGAACCGCAGCATCGAGCACCTGGTCACACAGATGAACAAAGAATTCAAAGATCAAGGGTTGACCAACAATCGATGGTCCCTGGTCGTCTTTGGCGCGGACGGGGTCTTCGATCATCCGAGAAGCGTCGTTTTTGACGGTCAGATCTTCACCAAGAATCCGGCACGGTTCGTCGACTATTTCAACCATGTGCGCGTCGGCAATGGTAGCAGGGACATCTTCGCGGCGATCGTGTTCGCCACGAAACTCTTCTTCAGGGCTGGCGTCTCGAAAACCTTCGTCCTGATGCCCTGCTCCCACTGCGAGCCGGAAAACCAAGCGGTAAGGCCTTCGGAAGCCTCTTTAAATGATTGGAATCCATCTAAAAGGGGATTTTGTAACCAACTTAATATTAGTAACAATTTAAATTGCGTCACTGTCTTCAGTAATTATATAACATTTTCAGCTGGACTATACCGTGCTGCACGAAGCTTTACTGGAACACGATATCAGGCTTCACATATTGATGGATGGTGAATTCGAGTTCGATAAGGAAAGGGTGAACACAATGTTCTACGGAATAGATGCGAGCAAGTCGTATACGAAGAAGGACGCCAGGACGTTTATCGGCGACGCCGATTTAAGGAGACAGGTGAAACTGCCGAAGAATTTACTCGGCTACTGCACACCCTTGGCTCTGGAAATAAACGGCACCATATTCAGCGGTGATAAATTACGTTTCGATAAGATGATCTCGATCAAGAAATTCATCAATGTTTTCTCCAAGAGGGTAGCTTTGACTGCAACCCCGAATCGCTGTCAGAATTGCGAATGCACCGCTGACAATAACGGAGTTACGCGAATGGAATGCATACCATGCGTCTATCCAATGCCAGTTACCGTGGATTATGTGAGTTTTCATACTTAAATTACTGCTTTGAAACTTGTACATTGCTAATCGCTACCAACTTTAGAAGCTGTTCCCTTAATACTATCTACGCTTGAAACTGATAAACCCCTTCTGACCTGAATTACTTATTCCTGGTTACACTCTTTCTACTGGAATTGAAACTATGCGGAAAATTGTTTAATTATCTCTTATTTCTTGTTACAGGATGCGTTTAATCTAAACGATTCACTAGCAGATATGCAGCCACTGAACGTCGATTACGGGCAAATCGATATCGACGACAGTTAAAAAGTACCAAAGAAGGTACCGATAGATTATTGATCGCCGTCACACATGATTTTTATTTATTTAACATATTATTTCGTAAAATGTTTACCAACGAACGAAGCACTCACCTCTTGATAATGAGTATTTAAGACGCAACGTTACGCAGTGTCGCATTGTAACGCAAAATATCGTATACGCCATAATAACGTTTAAGTAATATAGATAATTTTACATGTTTATAAAATAGTATTTGATTCGACTTTTATTTAAAAATAATTCGAGACAAAATATTATGTATACGCATAGATAAGAAAGATCCCAGTCTCGTTTATTAATTAACAACTCTACGTGTCATTTATTTCGTTAACTCGTACAATTTTTTTCGCTAGGAAAATGCGAATCGAAAATTTAGAAAAGAAAAGGATCTCATTCTTTCAACTTTTATCCAAATAAGGTAACAATATTCAATTAAATAATCATAACCCGGTACGTATTAAGAACAACCTATAGATATAGACCACAAATTTCAATTTTTTTTATACACCTTTCGATTGGTCCTTTCTGAAATACTAATTATCGGCAAGTATACCTTAATCCGTTTACAATTCAATTGAACTGTCGTGTGTAAACGCAGTGTCATTCGTTCGATCGTTACTTCATCGCTAACAGTGAATAAAATATCATATACTGTAACCATTTGATAATATGGATACAAAATAACTAAGAATATTTAACGTACATACATTTCAAAGGTATTTCAAAGTTCTTTCCCTTCTGTTACATATTATGGCAATGCGTAAGCATGGCAAAGACTTGCATCGAAACCTTTGGACGCGAGATTCTAATTTTCGAACAACGATCTGTCCCCGTTTGAAGATTTTAAAATATCAATAACTAATACAAACGGAACCGATATCGTTGCATTGTAAATATTATACTTAAACGCAGCACAAATAATGAAAAAAAAAAAAAAATTGCACAATTTCAATTTGACAGACAAGAGTTTAAAGGGCGTTCGCCTTGGAAAAAAAAAAACAAACTTGACATATACGGGTTGGAGACTTATGTGTGTACAGGAAAACTTGTAATCGTTGCATAAAAAGACAACCATGTAGTCGCAATTGATTTATAAAACCTTTTGCTTATATATTAACTGTGTATAATAATTCAAAACATACTATATAAATATAATACGAATCGTAAATGGCAATCGATTCGCGTTACACTCTTCGTATTTCAGCTTGTAATTACGTATTTGCAAACTGAAAGATGGCGAGCAAATTTTGTCGTAAGGAATACAATTCAACTTACCTCGAAAATGAATGATGATGATGACGATAATACTACTGCCTATGATAATAATAAGGAGAATAAAATCTCTAAAGACTGATCAAGTCTTCAAAAAACGTAACGAAAATATAAAGCTTCTTTCCTAATCGAAAAAGAGAGTGATACAAATTTGTCGGATTTGAAATAAGCTAAAATGGCCGTGACTCGTGTAATTTTATAATACACAAAATGGCCGTGAAACACGAGGAACAACCTGGCACAAATTCATTTGTGCCAATGTCATTTTGGCCACTATTGTATTATCGTTATCTAGACGCATTGCAATTTGGTCACCTGGTGTCGTGTGCCTGCAGGTGATTGGGAGCGTCAGCAAATGTGAATTTTAATTTATACGCTTCCGCGACCAATATACCTATTTCTGAGTCTGTCCAATTTTGAGTAGGCAGGTTTTGTAGCATCAACATCAGTCCCTAAACAAAATAACATCATTTGTAATCTGTTTCCTCGTTAACTGCGTCGGATCGTAATTTTCTTTAACACTCACTTGAAAATCAGGTTGTAAAAGAAGATGGCGCCTCCAACGAAGAAGAAACGCTGCACATACGTAAAGTTGAAACGAAGCGAATCGATCTGATTCCGCTAAATAAGTATCCCACAGGCGAATCGTGCAATGAAGAGGAATTTCCCGCGTTAATAAATTGTTCATCCATCGAAAGGAAAACTGTAAATAATCTACACCATGCTTATGAAGGTGCTGATGTAATGGTGCTGAAAGAACAAGTTACACAAACGTAACTGTAGGAGAGAAAAAAAATACCGGCATACTTAACGAAACAATTATTTCACGTGCTATATATTCTTAACAAGCAGATGCATACCATCGATTCTCTGTATAAGTTCTTTCAACTGATTCACTTTGTGCTGAATGCCTAATTGAGCGAAGATGTAGTTATCCTGAATACCATCGAGAAACTTAGACAAGCACCAAAAACTATCCGCTTCTATAATATTCCTCTGTTCTGTTTGCAAAGACGCGACATCATAATTTTCTAAATCCTGCCATGCTGATGCAGGTACTGCTTCTTGTAAAAACACCAGAAAAAAAGGTGTCACTAGATCATTCATCCCCTACAAGAAACAAATCGACATAAAAAGAATGTAGATAAAATCGATCCGAAGATCACGTACGTAGATACATAGATGTGTTTATCATAGCGTAATTACGCGTACTTGAACATATCCAGAAGCAGGATGACGAATTGCCCAAATATAAAGTATCCTTTCAAAAATTAATTGTACCGTTGTTTGTTGAAACAACGAAATAAGAGGTGACATTCTCGGAATGTCAATATGAATTTGACGATATGTATCTTGAAATCCTTCATCCCTTTCCACGTCATAATACTGTTTTACTAAATTCCAATAGTCAAGACGTTTACGTTCTAACACATGCTGCCTACGCTCCAAATTAGCTGGCAAATACTCCTGTATTATCGAAAGCAAAGAACAATTTTACATATATAAATGGAACTCTTATGTTAAACGTAAAAATACGGTATAGTTTACCTTTCTTACTTACAGACAATAGCCTCCAAGTAACGGAACGCAATCTTGCAGGTACACCCGACCACGATAGTTGCCTTAGTTCATCTAAATTTAATACAGAGGCTTCCAAAAGGGATTGAAATTTATCTACTTTACTTTCGCCATCTATAATTATTAACAAATGAAGACTATGAACATGTTAAGATCAATTTTACATAAGAATTCACTTGATAATATACACCTTGTTCTCTAGAAGGTATAAAAAATTTAGTAGGAGCGTTCATTTGCCTAAGTGGTTGTGGTCTCCCTGGAAATTGCGTGGGTCTATGCTGCGGGGAAGCACCATATTTTATATCCATATCATTCGTGGAATGTTGACTGTTGTTTACTTGAGAATGCATAGACAAATTTGCATTTCGCAAATGCAAGGGTTGGACAGCTAATCTTTGCAGGGCCTCTGCTTTTTTCTCCTCAGGAATGATTTCCTGAACTCGTTGAGAAGGTTTTGAATTTGTTCCCGATTCTAAGTATGTTTTTCTTGATCGATGGCTGTTAATGACACTGAGTGCAGCAGAGTGACTAACTCGTTTTGATATCTTTATATCAGAAACAGTGCAGAACTCATCATCTCCTGAGTCCCAAGCATCGTCCACGCTTTCTTGAAAATCTTGAAATGATGTAGAACCTCCACTGCTTCCCGATGCGATTCTACCAGAGACTGTATTGCTGGACACAAGTGATGCAGCATTCATCTTTCCAAGTTTACCATCTTGTTTTGGACTTGGTCTTTTGTTATTCATATAAGTAATTATGAAATTATTTAAACATAACATTATAATTTACAGGATAATTTAGAGCTTACATACCTGCCTGGCACAGCATGAGTATTCTTTTTCCAAAACGACTGATGCGTCTGGTAAGCTTGACCATGATGACTTTGATTTTCCATAATTGTTAAAAATTATGTTAAATGGCACCTGCCACTTTTCCAAGATAATGAAAGGAACAATAAAACTTCTTCATTCCCTTATGAACAATTGCTGAAATAATAATTGATGTTGTTGGTACTGGCACCTTTCATTAAAATTCTTTGGGTAATGTTCTCTTGCAGTCGACATAAAATTACAGGGATAACATTGTAATACTATGAACAAAAACGAATAACAGACATTGGTCAAATTATGTAACAATGCCACTCTTCTAATTCATGTTAATTTGCATGGAATGCAGGCAAACTTAGATCACTTGTCTTTAAATCCATCTGGTAAAAAGACAAGCAATGCCAAATATTTATATGAACTATTGTACAAGTAGTTTTCTTACAATGTAGTTAAATCTATCGTAAATGACAACAGGGACTAAATATGCATCATCAAGTCCATCTAAGAAGGCATTTAAAATTAATGAAAAACAATGGAGATTATACTATAGAATCGTACTCCGTGATACTGCTTATTACAAGTAGGTTATGTTACACGTCATAAATATTTTGAATCGCAAATAGTGGAAAGAAAATGTGGAAGTAATTCTTACGTTTAGAAATGTTTACGCAATCAAGTAATTACGTCAACATTGAAAGAGTTAAAGAGGCATTTAAATCGTTGTACAGCTTTTAAAGTATGGATTACTGCATGCATAAGGCGAATGGTTACAAGAGGAAATTACTAATATCCTCGAGAAAATAAGTCCTTTTGTTAGATATGCGATCTGAAGAGAATCTTTTTGAAATTTACCCAATTTGCAAAGAAATACGCTACAGCAAAACCTTGTCTGATAAACGTTCACTGTTTTTGACGTATGACAAGCTTATACTAGTGCTGCCACGACTGCCACTGAATAAATGGCTAGATTAAATTTTGTATTAATAATCCATCTTACTAAATTACTCTTTAAAAAATGTATATTACTCTATACTTTAAATTAGGACGGTTAACGCTGACGTCAATAGTTTCAGAACATGTATTCTGACTATAACAATACAATAGTTGTTGTTTTTGAATAATTGTTCAGGTATTTTAACAATGAAATGTTACAATACAGGTATGATTTCGCATGTAAACAGTGTTTTGTTACACGAATAATTATGGCTAATAAATACGAGTAATATGCTAATACGAATAAGTTATTAGTAAACACAATTCTTTCGTGTGTAATAAATACATCGCTACGAAGTTTTTGATAGGGAAAGTTTTACCAGATTCAGTAAAATTTGATGTAAAAAATAAATTTACAGTATTTATAAATTTACAGTATTTAGTTTACCACGAGAACCAAATGTTATAAAACAATACTCGATTAAAATCTTTGACTGTATATTCATATTTATTTGATTTTGTTAGTCTTCTGTTTACCCTGTACACTAACAAAATCTAATAAAACCATTTAATCATATTCGCTGTTTACTTAAATATTCCATTCTAACAAGAAACTCGACAAAGTCTATTGCTGACAGTTTAATGTCAGAAAAATTAAAATGAAAATCTTGTCATGCAGGTTCATGGGTGCAAAACAAGTTCCATATTGCTTCCTGGTATTTATCAAGATTCAATAACGGTACTCTCGCTTTTTCCTCGAGGAGTTTCAAAGTTTTTATTTTTTTTTTTTTTACATAAATTCTAACACGTCTTTGGGTGGACCGACATAGCATTCGTGATTTTTATGGTTATTCTAAATGTATTTGTGAAACGAAACAACCCAAGTATTACGTGGACCGTGTGTTTACAACGACATATCTCGTAGTATTTAAATGTTCCACTTTAAGATTGTGAGCGATACGTGTACGTATTATGTGGACCTTGAGTTAGTGACAGTCATATATACATTAAAAAACGTCAAATCTTGCCGTTTGAGGGGAATACCGCACGCCAAATGCATCCCCTCTACTTTCAGTGTCAGTAAAGTATCTAATACAATCGTAAAAATGGAGGCCCTTAGTCGCTCCAGAGAATGATAGAAATAGACAAAAATTGGGATCAGGTATCGTTTTCTATAATTACAGCACTGGCCACTCAGCTTTCAATGCGCATGTAAAGTACTGTATCGCAATGTAAAGTAAAAGCGCGAAATTCAAAATAATAAATATGATTGTAATAAAAAAACTGAAATTTTAATAGTTTCATAGTATTATTCATTTAATTAAGATCTTCAACAATTAAGTAGATCTTGAAGTTCTGTATTGCATAAGTCCTGCTTTATCTATAAAGGGAATAATAACTCTAAACAGAGTTTATTGAATAACCTATTATAAAGCTTAAGCAATGCTCCAGTAACACCATCTAGCGTTCATTTGCGTCACAACTGGACTTTTTCTAAAAGGAGAAGGGGAAGCTTTTGGCAAACAGTATTTGCGTACTCCCCTAAAATGGCAAGAATCAAGTTCATAGTGTATACAGTTCTATCATCGTATCTGATACTGATACGACATATTCGGTTCGCCGTCAGTCGATCGCGTGCGTTCCATGCCGTCATGTTTGTAGCGGCGTATTTAAAGAATTCTAGTCTATCTTAAGCGTAAAAAATCGTAAGAACAGATATAATCCCTCGTATTCTACCGTGTATTCTTCAGAACAGATCACGTTATTTAGAAATGTCTATACGTAAACGTTAGTTTCAGTTTCTTTTCTTTCTGTGAATCGACTCACCTACCGTTTGACGTTTGACGGATTAATGGTAAGTTTGTAAATACCCATCCAGTTTTAATAGAGAATTTTGCTGATTACATTTGATACGATTAATTAACAACTACTGATCACCAAAAATTAGCCGATCGTTTAATTCAACGAATGTATTCGTCTCAGGATCACTGTTTTTCTCGTTACTGACAAGATCTAGGTCTATCGCATCGCCGCGTTAACTCAATTATACTTTCTTCGTAACACTCTACTTCAGATCGTTTCCGGGTTCTTTCTACCATACAGTCGATTCTTTTATTTTCCAAAATTGTAGCCGGACGAATGTAAGTTTTTTTTTTCTTCTATTTGATATTTTTGTTTTAATCTTAATCCTGTTTTTAGATGCATAATTTTGATGATAATTGCATCGATAACGTTGTCATCCTTTTATTTAATTCTCCAGTTACCTGAAATTTTTAATATTTCATATTTAAAATAAAAGTTTGAATTTTATACATTTGAAAGAGAGTCTGCGGATATATTATTTATTCATGGAAGTGCAATATGTTATTTAACAATTTTTCGTATCATGCTACTCTGTTAAAAATTCATACTTTTTTATTGGCACGTAAATTTTAAAAGTATTTCATTATTTATTCATTATCAGGTGAAACCTTGTCGTGTCACTGTTATCACTAATGTAATCTATGAGCTCAGTTAGTATAAGAGAAATGATAAAATCGATTGTAGATTAATTGAACTATAGATAAGCACATGAATAAAATTTGATAACAGAAATGTATGCATTAATTGTGTGAAATATGATTTTGTGAAACTAGAAAAATAATGACCTAAAACTGAAGGAGCACACTTGAGAAATCTGCCTTTAGAAATAACTTTCACCTGCAATAATTAAAGTTTTCTGTAAATAAGATGTCCTATATGTATAACTGTCATTAAGTACAAGAAGATTTATGTGTTGTGTGTATGTTTTTTAAGTGTCAGTGCATAGAAGGATGATACTAATTTTTATTTTTTTCAAGCATATTTTAAACATCGATTCAAAATGTCGGACATTGAAGAAGACGAGGTATGTACACATATTCATTGTTAATATTAACTATGAATGTTTTTACTGAATTTTGATTTCATCCATATTTTAGTTTCAAGATGCTCAGGAATCCATGCCAGAGTAAGTACAACACATATTCATGTATATACATATATTCCTTATGTGTTAGATTATTTGTACTTTTTAGACCTACTTCCATGGATCTGGATACTTCAATAATGGAAGCAAAAAAAGCGATACATTGCTTTTTTAACAATGATTTTGATGAAGCCAGGGAAATTATGGCACCATGGGCAAGCACTAGCATGTATCACTCTTTAGGGACAAGTGTATTTGCATACCTTGAGGCCATTCTTACATTTGAACAAGTATTAAATCATGATGGATAACACTATTTAGAAAGTATGTCATGTTAATAATGCATTGTAATATGTATTACAGCAATATGTTGAAAAGGCAGCTGCAGCTGTAAAACAATGCATGAGTGTATGCATGAAACATCGCAAACATGTGACAATAACACAAAATCTTGGCAAAATGGTCAAGAAAACTAATTATGATTCTTATACAATCGGTATGTATACATATACATAAGTAAATTAATTTGATACAGCATGTTTAATCAGCTTTGCATTGCTTCTTGCATAAGATGCATGATTAGAGAAATGAAATTTCTCTAAAAGCATGTAACATTTTGATGCAAGCATTTCTAAAATATCCTGGGCAAACAACATAAAATAGTTAAGGTGATCGAGTAATGTTGTTTATCCAAGGAATAATTTCTCTTTTGCAACTACTTCCATTCTGTTTATTCCAATTTTTTCTATTAAATTTAAAATCGCTCAAGTTTTCTACAATGTCAATAGCCAATTATCTAATTAACTCCACTTTATAACGTCATCTTGTACCAATGGAATAAGCGAGCATAAAGCATGAAGGAATAATAAAAGAAATTAATATTACAGAGGAAGTGCATGCGGAACTCTGTTATGCTGAATCACTCCTTTTAAAATCGATGCTCACGTTTGTGGAAGACGAGACTCTGGTCAGCTTTGTCAAGGCTGGATTGAAAATTCGTACCTGCTTTCTGTCGTATAAGTAAACAAACCATACCGCGAATTATTCATTTCAAACTTTCGTCGCATAATTGTACATTCTTCTATGTATGTTATCTTTCTTCAGGGAATGTTTAACAATTTTAAATAGTCGAAAGTGGGAGAACGATGTTCACAAAGTACATTTCGAAAGCGGCGTTCGCACAGGAATCGGAGCATTTAATTTGGTGCGTAGAAATTATATCTTCGTTCCGTAAAATTATTCAGATATTATAGTCTAATAACTATGTCCTGGCGCATTTTTCAGATGATCTCATTATTACCCGCAAAAATTATCAAATTATTAGAATTTATTGGATTTTCTGGCGATAAGGTATTAGAATAGTCTTCTATGAAAAACAATTTCACGAAAGAGTTTAATTATATGATGATCTGATATCGTTTTTATTAACAGGAGTATGGTTTATCAGAGTTAGAAGCAGGGTATAGGGAAAGACGAGGATTGAGACACGTTTTATGTGCAATGATTCTTTTATCTTACAATTTAATAGTATCTTTTGTGCTGAGTCACACGGATGGCGATCTCGCATGGTGTGAAAAAGTTTTGGAAGAAGAATTAAGTCTTTATCCGAACGGTGTATGGTTTTTATTTTTCAAGGGGCGATTAGAGCTAGCAAGAGGAAATTTTGAGAGTTCCATAGAATGGTATACTAAGTCTTGGAAGAGTCAAGACGTATGGCCTCAATTTCATCATCTTTGTTTTTGGGAATTAATGTGGGCACATTGTTCTCTGCAGCAATGGAGTCGGGCTGCAACGTTCGCAAGCATGTTGGCCGGCCAATCAAACTGGTCGCGTACTATTTATTTATACCAGAAAGCTGCGATACTTATCATGCAGAAACCACCGTCGAAAAGCGAGGAAAAACAGTTGATAGATACTTTGATGATGCAAGTGCCTACCTTTAAACAACGCATAGCGGGAAAATCATTACCGATGGAGAAGTTTGTAATTAAAAAAACTGAACGTTACTTTGCCCAGAAAAAGAATCTAGTCCTTCCTATATTTGAACTTATGTATGTGTGGAATTTGTTCCGAATTGTTGGTAAACGTCAAGATCTAATATTGAATATATTTAAAATGATCGAGGAAGCTGAGAAGGATCTTGCGAAAATGGGGTAAGCATTTTCAATTGATCACTATTATGCTTGATTCAGCAACATTAAAATATCTGTAATTTTTTATAGGAAAACTGAGTTTCATACGGACAATGAAGCGCTCTTGTTGCTTTTAAAGGGTGCTTGCTTACGACAGATGAAGCATCCGTTGCTAGCCGAGGATTGTTTAACACGTGTTCTCAGGTTGGATAAATCAATTAAGGAAGACACCTATATACTTCCTTACGCAACAGTAGAACTAGCTTTGTTAGCACAAGATCAAGGAAATATTCAACTTGCTATTGGATTTCTGGAAGATGCCAAGTAATTTTTATTTCTTATTTATGTAATACGTATTAATAGGCCGGTAACTAATTAGTTACAATTAATTTATTTTTATTGTAGAAAGAACTTTACTGGATATCCGCTAGAATCGAGATTGCATTTTAGAATTCATTCCGACTTAATGAAATTGACTGGAAAGAAAACCGACGATATTTCAGTATAATAATATTCAAGAGATATAAGGTTTACAAAGAAATTTAATTACTGTCAATAGTACTCACTATTGCAGATATCGAGCACAGCCGATTTTGTTAACGACTCTTTTTTACGAAACGAATTGTTATGTAGTTTTTAGTTTTTCTTTTCGGAATGGTTGGTTTCTTCTAATATTAATCGTTTTCTATATTATTACATATTGTAAACGAACTACTATTTCTAATGATTGACGTACGTTAACTGTTACGCATGTAGCTAATGCACATGTAACAAACTAGTTCAAATGGTCTAAATGAAAGATTTAGGGATTAAATTATTTTTTTAATTTTAATTATTTTTACTATGAAATTAGTAAATCACTATAGATGTCAATTTAATTGACGTTAAAAAAAAAATATAGTATTGGTGTCGTTTGTGTGTATACGTACACACGATCTTTGGCACACATGTATTTATATTGTTTAATAAATTATAAATCAAATGAAACACGAGAAAAAGGGGAAGAGGCAAAAATAAAAAAAAATAGTTTATCCAGTAAACAGTGCAAATGATCCAATTCATCTCATTTGAAAAGAAATTGGTTAGCATAAATTTATGCCATCATTGTCCACACTTAGCAATTGCATTACGAATACAATTCTTCTATTAATTTTATATACAATTTTCACAAAAGAACTGAATTGTATCTACGTATCATTTTTACAAGTATACTGCACTATGAGCTTAAATCTCAAACTGTGTTTAGAAGAGTGATTAAGTTTTACGCCTCTTGTGCGCTTTCGGTAAATTAAAAATTATTAAGAGTTGTAAACACAGGAATAAAGTGTACTATTTTATAAGTTTGATTTCAGCCAATAACAATATCCCAAGATCCCTACTTTTCAGTTTCTTGTACAATACACTTAAAAAAATATCTTATTATATATTTTTTCAGTATTATTTCGGGGGATTTCGATCCCGTGTACATATAATTTACGAAAGAAATAATATGTTACATTATTATAGTAATGTAAAAATACCGAATAGTTAATAATTGTATGTAATTTGAATCATATGTGAACTTTACCACAAATATGATTGAATCTATTGTCTTTTTATTGCTTTTAAGGCATTAAAATCGTTTATACGGAAGGCATATTACCTTCAATATTTGATAACTGTTTATATACACGTTACAACATCATAATATAAATTAACAAAGTTATCACAATAATTCTATCACTGTTTATTTACAAATGTATAATTTAAATATAGATACCAATTTCATACGAGAAAGTTTACAATCAATAATATAATAATCATATTAGTTGTATACAAAATAATCGTTTTACACGTTTTATCTCCACGAATAAATAAGAATTTCTATACTATGCCTTGAATATTCCGAAATAATTTCTTTTTCTGTTCATTTCAAGGGCTTACAAAATCAATTAAAAACGCGTATTAATCAAAAACTTTCTCATATTAAAATTTGTATGCTCATAACAAGATAAGTTAGATTTTTAAATATATAAAAATGCGTGTAATTTGATTTTAATTTTAATTAATATTAACCTAAATGTGTTTTATTCAAAAATACAATAGTCTATATAACTAAATGAGTTTCCTGATACTACTACGAGTTTCATCTAGCAAAATAAATTATGTTTTACTAACGTATATTTTACAAAAGCATTATTTATCGCTTTATTATAGTATACTTGATATTTGCTAAATAATTTAATATTTACTTCGTATTGCAAATATTTTATTTCAAGGTTATGTAATTTATGCAAATAATCTATGCAAATGAAGCAGTAACACAATTTACGTTTTCACAGAATTTAATAGTCTGTTTGCGAACTAATTGTTTTTTTTTTTTACATATTGAACTTCAAAATGTGTAAGAATTTCACTGAATGTAATTACGCGCATTATTTGTGTATAACATGTAACTCTAAAACGTATGTTTGCATTACAAAATATTCTATAAAGTTTAAAACACTTTTACTGATGATTACATTATGAAAAAGACAATGTACGTATTATGCAATGAGAAACGCTTGAATGACAATTTTTTAAACCAAGTCTGCTAAGTGTTGTTAGCATCCGTAAAATGTCTTGTTATATGCTAACTTTCCCTTTATCAAAATTACATATATTTATAAAGATGTAAAAAAATCTTAGTTGTAAAGCTCAGTATTGTATACATTGTGGAGTAAATGATAAACGTCCTACTGTCTGGACAGACTAAAAACCTAATTTTGCCAATTATAAAACACAAAGCTAACTATAACATAAATAATTAAAATTTGTACCTATACAATTATACAATGTATTTTCATAACTGTACGTACAGTAAAAGAAATTCTACTTGTCTACAGAGCAATAATAATATAGGGTTTGTTTTAAAGCACATGACAGTTCTTCGAGTCCTACATTTAAGCTTACTATACAAGTGTATATAAAGTAAAATACTAAAAATACAAGTACAATTACAGTGGTACAAAATATTTATAAATACCAAATATTCTACATCAACTAGTTTGAACAAAACATCTGTGTAACTGTTGACAAAACAGATATAAAAATATAAAAATGTACAGCTGTTTAAGCATACATAAGTAACAAGACTGTTCGAGTAATCCAAATTACATATTCTAAAGTATAGATAACAAACAGTCTGAGTAAAAGATTGTAATGTTTGTTAAACCAACACATCTACAACTGTTGTAGGTTTGATAATTTACGAATTTATATCTCTAATGTTGTTAAAAAATAACTATGTATCATAATCTTCATCAAGATTTGCAGTATGAGCAAAATTTGATGTCGGTTGATTACTCGTATTTACACCAGATGTATTTGTACTTAAATTCATAGGATTAACTTCTGTATAAAAGTTGGGTTGACTAATTTGAAACGCTGTAGGCACAGTTATTTGAAATTCTGGAACTTGTGAAACAGATGTATTTATAACTGTCTCGTTAACAGCACCTGTGTCATACATTCCTGTTCCCCCATTGTCTTTTGAATTTTTATATTCTATATTTACTTCAGTAGTTAATCCCATTTGCTGCTTCTGAAGTCTATAAAAATACATAGTACGTTTACAATTTTAGAGTAACGGTTAATACAGATGACGCTTACCCTATTTCAGAAGGTCGCAATGCGGGTGTACAAATGGTTATATTTGATACATTCGAAATCATTGGAGCTGGTGTTAATGGCGGTGTAGGCACTTCGTCGTCTGGTCCTGAAATATCTGGTAAAGACTTCACTAGATCTTTCAGAAAATCAAAACGACTTTCTGATAAAATACATTGCTTCCTATAAATTATAATGTAAAGATTAAGAATACGTCGTATTTTTATTATGATTAAGGTAGACTTTTGAAGGACCATACTTACATATGAGATGGACTCAAAGTTTTGGCATTTTTGGCACTTGTAATTTGCATAGTCTTGGTAAGTAACGAATGCACAAACAGTTCTAATGTTCTAGGTATGCAAACAGTTAAGGAATTTATTAAAATACATACTAATTATTTAAATATAAACAAGATACTAAATTATACAGCAACATATCGATAAAAATTCGCTTTCTTTATTAATTTAAAAAGGATATAGATTATAATCGGCACAGCTTGTGCAACTTTTCCAACTTCTTCATCGGTTTGCATAATTTTCTTGATTCGACCCTAAATGTAGGATGGCAGAATTAGGTTAGGCACGAACATTCAAAATGTTTGAGCACAATTATTTTGTGCTCCTGCATCTTTTCACAGTTTAAACATGATTATACATTAATCGTAACATAGCGTTTAGCAAAATCGTAGCCATGTAATTTACATAAATTTTCGATAATTTTTCAAAAACATCGTTTCCATAATAGAAATGTTATTTTGATACTCACAGCTGGAAAACGTGCATTATATTTTTTCTTTTTACTTGGCATTGTAACAAGATTGCTGGTATTTCACACCACTTAAATTAAGTGTAAAGAAAACGTCGAAGCTTTGTAAAAAAAAAAAATGCGTATTTATGTTGTATTTGCAGCAATTGAGGTGTTCCGAAACTTGACAGACATCTGTAACGTGTATTTTCAATAATTCATAAAATATTTCATGTTCGTGAATTTAATGGTTAATATATTTGACATGTTACAAATTGAAGTAAGCGTGTTCGAAAAATATTTTCGAAAATATTCGTCAACGTTGGAACAAGTTACAACACATATCATGATCCGCTCTTTGATTATTTTTATGCATCTTTGTCTCTAGGATAAACTGTTTTATCTCGGCTGGTCATAAAATAAATGAAACTGTTATATAGTGGTAGCAATGAGTAAAGATACAAAGTCTACTTCAGTCTACTCATTATAGTTCAATTATGCGAAATAAAATAACTTTAGGAACGACAAGTTAGTATTAAGTTTGAATTCGTGATCATTCGTGACGTCTTCGAGAAACCGCGATTAAATTGTGTAGTTTGTTTATATATTTTTGTCTGTGTTTACCTTGCGATGTAAAAGTTTTATGCGTACAATATTATTTATATTATGAAATTTAAATAATGTTTATATAAATGTAACTATGAACATTCGTTTATTTATCAAATTTAGATAAATGGATTTCTAAAACACCAAAATATTTTTAACCTCCGACTCACAACAAGTTTAAATACACGAAATCATTTGCAATGGCGAATTCGAACGATAGAATTATTGTTTTAATAGACATGGATTGTTTCTTTTGTCAAGTTGAAGCAAAATTACGACCAGAATATGCAGGAAAACCACTCGCTGTTGTGCAATACAATCAATGGAAATTAGGAGGGTAAGAATTTCTAATCAACATAAATTACCTTTTAGTAAAAAATCAACATTTAATGATATATCAATTTGCTCTTAATCAGAATAATTGCTGTCAATTATGAAGCAAGAGAATATGGTGTTACACGACATATGAGGGGAGCAGAAGCTAAAGAAAAATGTCCAGATCTAATTTTAGCTAGTGTACCATGTCTTCGTGGGAAAGCTGATACATCAAGGTATGTTGTACAATCATTTATTTTATATACAATCATATAAACAATTAAAGAGAATAATTGTAATTACTAAACTAAATTTTTAAACAGATATAGAAGTGCTAGTCGTGAAGTAATTGATGTTATAAAAACCCACTCCAATATAGTAGAAAGAGCTAGTGTAGATGAAGCATATTTAGACCTTACCGATGTTATTGACAAAAGTTTACAGATAAACTCTATTTCCCCAGAAAATTTAATAACACAGCTATCAAATACATTTATAGTAGGATACTCAGAAGTTGGAAAGAATGATGAAGGTAAAGAACAAATTATCAATGAAGCAAAATTTGCACCTGATATAATTGTATTATATAATTTTAGAAGAGAGAAGTAAAGGTACAAAAAATTGGATATTAAATATTTTTGAAGAACTCGAAGATGTACAGGCTCAAAAACTTGCGATAGCTGGTGTAATAGTTGAAGAATTGAGAAATGATATATTTCAGAAAACAGGATTTAGATGCTCAGCTGGCATTGCACAAAATAAGGTAAAGTGATATTTCTCCTTCAAACATTACATACATATAAGATTTCAAAGATCTCATATTATATTTTATATTCTTAGATATTAGCTAAATTAGCATGTGGATTACACAAACCAAATCGACAAACAATATTACCTGCTGCTGCGGTATCATCGCTTTATTCAACATTACCAATTAAAAAAGTTAGGAATCTCGGCGGAAAATTTGGAGATGTTGTTGTTGAATCTCTCAATTGTAATGTTATGGGTGACTTACTGCAGTATTCACTGCAATATTTACAAGAACGTTTTGATGACAAAACGGGGTATGCTTCTTAATGTTTCTTTAGGTGCATTATTTTATCCCACCTATTATATACCAACAATTACTATTCTTGTTTTTTAATAAGTATGTTTTTGTAGATTATGGTTATATAATATCGCTCGTGGTGTAGACCATGAGCCCGTTACTATGCGGCTTGTGTCAAAGTCGATCGGAGCATGTAAAAAATTTCCTGGAAAACAAGCTATTACTTCGTTAGACGTGGTAGGTTAAACAGTAAAATATGAACGAAATTGTAGCACATGTATAAATGGATACAAAAAGCATGATTTTATTTGTAGTTACAACATTGGGCTGGAGAATTGGCAGCAGAAGTTTGCGAACGTCTCGAACAAGACCTCGAGGAAAATGAACGACGCGCGACACTACTTACGATATGTTATCATTATTATCAAAACAAAAATGTAGTATCTCAATCACGTTCTTGTACTTTAAATTCATACAAACCAGAAAAAATGGCAAGTCGTTGCGTGGAAATGATATCTAAATCAACACAATGTCCAGTTGCGTATATAGGCCTATCGGTTGGTAAATTTATACCTGCTAAAGGTAGCGAGAATTTCATGAATTTTTTCAAAACGAGTAGGTTAGAACAACAACAGAAAACAAGTGTTCAACCAAGTATAGAAGTGAAACACACGGAATCAACAAATACTTCTATTGAAACAGTAATAGATAATATAAACAAAAATACCAATATGAATTCTAATGATAATAAAATGGAGAACCCATCAAATAATATAGTAAACGATGTTGCCAAAAACTGTAAAAGTAGCGTGCAGTTAAGTGAACGAACTCCTGATATGGAAATAAATTGTTCGCCTACTACTAGAAGATTAAATAATTTAATTACGTCATTGAACCAACCAAACAAGAAGAAAACATTTCATGAAAGAAAAGATAGTAACTCTAACTTAAACGAGTCCTTAGACCAAGACCAATTTAAAGAATCATTTTTTTTGAATGTTTTTAATCCAAAAGACAGTAAGATAAAAGACACAGCCATACATGAAACTGATTTAACTGAATTCAACAAAGATGAAAATGTTGGTAAAACTGACAATGATTATAACAAAAGTGAATCTGGTGAAATAGACTTTGATACAGCACAGTGTAGTTCTAGTGAATTTGTGCAAACATCCGCGAACGTAATAATAAAGGAAAACAGTAGAGCCAGTAATTTTCGAAGTACTATAAAACTAGAAGAAATATTTCCCGATTTAAATGATATTGATCCGAACGTCGTCGCATTACTGCCTCTGGATTTACAAAATGAAGCAAAATTATACATAAAAAAACAAAGTAAAAAAAACAATACAAGAGAAACTGTAACAAAGAATACAAAGATAAAAAATAAATCTAAAAGTAATGTTTCGAAAGGGAAGAAAAGCAATGGCATTTATAATTTTCTAGTTAAAAAAGATCCAACTAAAGTTATCGATGTACCATCCGTACGTTGTTTACAATGCCATGACACAATACCCGTATCAAAATATGATGAGCATTGTGACTTTCATGTAGCTGAAAATTTGCAAAAGAAAATAAATGATACGATGCTAGAAACCGCAAGAGTAAAAAGAAAAGTCGATACATGTGACATAGACGTTAATTCTGTGAAACGTCGTTCAAACGAAGTTATTTTAAAACCAGAAGAAAATTATAAACCTACAACGTCGTTTCTATCGTAATTATTTTTATAAATATTAAAATGTAGATAAATATAATCTTTTAAGTATTGTAAATATTCATTGATTTGAATGAATTTGTATAAATTGGAAGCAAAATTTACGATGTATTTTTATAACTTTAGAGTGTTCTTTACATTGGTATGTAAATAACAGTAATTCTCATGCAAATTGAGTTGAACTAGAAATAAAGTTTTTAATGAAAACTTATAAATTGTCGTTATTTGCCTGTTGTGTAACTATTCGAGATACATAATTTATTGTAACGTAGTTTATCGCATTTATGAATGGATAGTGCAATAGTTCAGTTGCATTTGCGACACAGCAAGGGACGACGCGCTCCATACGTTCGTGTGTGACCGCTTCGCCAGAGATAGGGTAGATCTCGGCGCCCTCATAGGAGACGTCACCCCCGACAACATCGTGGGGGTGATGCTGCGGGGGCCGACCAAATGGGAAGCGGTTGCGCACTACGTGGAGCGTGTGTTGCGTCGCAAGAGAGAGGAGAGATGCCTGGATGATACTCCGGGCTCCCCCTAGCTTCGGTTCTATCCGACCGGCGGAGGCCCTAACGGGGCCTAGTTGCCACGCCCCCGGACTGTTGTTATGCGAAAGCAGGTCTGGTCCGGGGGGCTAACGTGGGAAGCGGGTGGTTTTTTAGTGAGTAGGAATCTCACACTTCCGGACGCTGGCACCGTCCCCCGGCGCTCGGTGCCTATGAAGGTCTTTCTACCCGCCTTATTAAAAAAATAGTTTAGTTGCATTAGTATAGGTGAGTGGTATATACTAGTGGCGCCATCGGTGGAAAAGCGTCCAAGTTTATAGCGAACGTAGTTCTTACTCTTGTTGCTAGATTACGCCACCATTTGTGGTTCTCATCGCCATCTAGTGTTGAAGAGACCGGACTAATTTTCGGAGTTTGTTCAGCGCCTCTATCGGGAAAACGCCTAAGTTTGTCGAGAAATAGTTCTAACTTTTCATACTAGATGGCGTAATTAACTAATTTTTTACCAACGTCATCTGGCGTCAAGAGTGAGAACTATTTTCACTATAAACTTGGGCATTTACCACCGATGGCGCCACCAGTGCGAAGACCCAGTGTTGTGCTATATTATGTGGTGCCATGTGACAACGTATATTATTTGTAAATAAACTAATCTTTTAATGAAACAAAAACAGAAGTCATGACATTTTCCGAATTAAATTTAAGCTCATGGATTGTCAAGCAATGCAATTCCATGGGTAAGTATCGATTTAAATATGAACGAATGTAAAAAAACGAGGAAAATTAATGCATCACCGTCTTTTATAGGTTTAAAAAAACCTACGCCAATTCAGGAAAACTGTATTCCAAAAATTTTAGCTGGCAACGATTGTATTGGTTGCGCAAAAACTGGTAGTGGTAAAACACTTGCCTTTGCACTTCCTATTTTGCAAAAATTATCTGAAGATCCATATGGCATTTTTGCCCTTATTTTAACCCCTACCAGAGAGCTTGCTTTTCAAGTATGTCTAACAATACAACTGTTCATTACACATTATATCTATAATTTTTCATGTTTGCCAAAGATTATAGTAAGAACTTTCATCCATAGATTGCAGACCAATTCTCAGCAATAGGAAAATCTATCTGTTTAAAAAGATGTGTTATAGTCGGAGGGATGGACATGGTTGTACAAGGCTTAGAGTTGTCAAAGCACCCACACATAGTTGTCGCAACTCCAGGACGTTTGGCAGATCATTTAGAGAGTTGTAATACATTTTCTTTAAAGAGAATTAAGTTTTTAGTTTTGGATGAAGCTGACAGACTTCTAGGGGGTCATTTTGATGATCAATTAAAAACTGTATTTAATGCCTTGCCTCAGAAAAAACAAGTTCTTCTTTTTAGTGCAACAATGACAGACACTCTTGATAAAGTGAAACATATTGCATCTGGAGAGGTATTATAAAATTTTATTGAAATATAATATTAAATTCTACAAACAAGAAATATAATATTATTGATTATTTTTGAAGGTCTTCATATGGGAATCCAAGGATGATTCTGGTACAGCTACAGTAAAAGAACTTGATCAACACTATGTGCTTAGTCCAAGCGATGTTCGGGATTCTTTCTTGGTTGAAGTAGTTAGAACATTTCGAACAACCAACAAGGATGGATCGATAATGATATTTACAGATACTTGCAAGTAAAATGCAAATATTTGTATACATTATTTTCGTTTATATTCACAGTACTCATGGTATATTATTTCCTAGGCATTGTCAATTGTTATCCATGACATTAAACGAAATTGGTTTCAAAAATGTAGCTCTTCATGCTATGATTAAACAGAAAGATCGTCTTGCAGCACTTAGCCAGTTTAAGTCAAATCATATAAAGATCTTAATAGCTACAGATGTTGCAGCAAGAGGATTAGACATTCCTACAGTTCAATTAGTTATAAATCATATTGTGCCAAATGTACCGAAGGAATACATTCATAGAGTTGGTAGAACAGCTAGAGCAGGCAAAGGAGGTATGGCGATTACTCTGATAACGCCATACGACATCAAATTGTTGCATGCCATTGAGGATGCCATTGGGACGAAATTAACAGAATATAAAGTTAACGGTAATATATTTTAACATTTTTGATCTAATGAATAAAAAGAAAAAACATATTACAATAACATTTTTCAACAGATAAGGAAATAGTTACGATCATTACGCAAATATCTGTCGCTAAACGAGAAGCTGAAATGAAATTGGATGAAACGAATTTTTACGAAAAAAAAATAATCAATAAACGCAAAAAACTAATTCTCGAAGGAAAAGATCCAGATGAAATCGAGGAGATTTTGGAGAAATATAAATCTAGTAAATCGAAGAAACAAAAAAGGAAACTTGTTGATAGTACTCATAATACAGATAAGTCTGATTAACTTTTATTATTTGAAAAAATGTATATAGTATAAATGAAACTGTCGCATAACAATGATTAACTAACACTGAATGTATAAACGGTACATGTATATATTGTATGAGGACAATCGTTTTGTAAAAATGACTATGATCGATATTAAAAAATGTAAGAAAATATACGTTTGTATAAATTTCTATATATTAAATATTAATTTCGTTGAACACGTATACAATTCCTACAAAATGTATAGTCTATAAAATATTTTTTTTTACCTCTTTAACTAAGCATTGATACTTCAAAATCTTATTTTTAATTATTGCACAATAAGTGCTCCTATTCTAACCAAAAAGACATACATACTTGAATATGACTGAGTACGAATTTATAGTCGGTTCTAAATATAATATAATTGGCATTAATCTTTTTTAAAATTAATTCGTACAATAATTGAATTAAGAAAGTACATATTCACTGACCTCATAACATGTAATTTCAAATATCAATTAAGAATGTAAGTAATTAGGCATTAAATCGCATATTTAGAGTCGCGCTCTCATCTTTTCTTCGTTTTGGATTAAATTTAATTCATTTAAGAAAGCATAAAGTTCGCCAACATACTCTTTTGGATATCTCTGAAAGTGTCCAACATGCGGAGAATCCTCGAATATTTTAACGTAAGTCTGAAACATATAATGTCCGTATAAATGTACAATAACGAAGTTCATTTATATTATTTTTCATATTTGCATATATTACCTTCACGCCCATACTATCCCATCGATCGCGTACTTGCATATTATTAGTTACTGTACCAACAGGATCCACTTTACTTACAAAGAACAATGCAGGACTGTGTACTATATTCGAATGAAATAATTGACTAGATCGTTTATAGTATTGAGTAGACGATTTGTAAAATGTTCTCATGTGAAATCTGTGAATCATTTTAATGCATTTGAGATAATGACTATTTGGAAATATTTAAAAGTACCTAAAATCAAAGATAAACTTACTCTAGATATTTTTGTACCATATTTTGTAACACCTTATTTTTTGGAAATACAGCACGCGGAGTGCCTATTGATAATTGTGACACATCAGCCAGACTGTCCCAAACCTGACCAACAATTCTATCTAGCACATTACCATATTTTTGACTATCATTTTGAAATATATCTATTACTTCTCCCCACATATATCCACCTACTGAAAAACCATGTAATAGTATTTGCTGATAGTTTTCATTTGCTAGTAAGAAATCTAACAAGTCTTTGGCGACTACCTGAAACAAAAAAGGTGTTACATGTTTAATTATAAACTAGAAATAATAATCTATTTTATTTCTTTTGTTTCACAAACATACCCTTGATCCTGATATAGGCCACAGTACTTGCCAAGGAGTTGTTGATACCAATGCGACATCGAAACCTTGCTCTGTGTATAAATTGAGAAACTTAGTGATATGTTTACGGTTAGCTAAAAGCCAACTGAGCATAATTAACAGAGGTCTTCTTTCTGCATTTTTAAGATTCTGAATCTGGCCATCTGTGGTTTTTGCTCGATTATCCTGTGTAATATGTTCAATATTCTTTGAGACACGATGGCTGGATAGTTTACATGCCAATAAAAACAGAGTCTAATTAGGAAGGAAAGATAAATTAAAATATAAAAATTAGTAAAAAAAATAAGGCAACAAAGTAGCAAATCAAAATTACCAGGTTTTTTCGCTGGTTTAATAACTGAGGTTGAGCATAGGGGATCAATCGTGTCCTTGTGAGGGTAGATGATAAAATTCTCCCAAGGATCATTATTGCCAGCAGAAATCTACCCACTCTACAATACACTCAATTGTTTTATAGAAGATTTTTATATAGTCATAACGTGATGAATTCATAAAAATACATAATCGATTTAATTATTTTTACAATTGACTGTAATTAGTGAATTGATCTTGATTATCTCCATCATAAATTAAAATTACAGGTTAGAACTTAACGATCATTCGACTTCATTGTCGTTAATTTCTGGTCTATTTATTTTCGCACTCAATCATGCGATTGAACAGAGTATATACATGGTCGTTACTTAGAATCAATTGACTCGCTTCCTGACATTTTTTTTACTGTAGTCAATATATTAAACTCCCCTCCTGTGCGCGCACTTACTCTCTTTGTCAGCAAAAGAGTAATTCCGCGCGAATATCAAGTTCCATTGGTTTATTCGGATTTCAGATTTATATAATGTTTTGTGACTAATATGTCAACCAAAAGATACAGAAGTCATTATGCTTTCCCCTACTTTAATTACACATTGTATACTTATCGAAAATGATAATGTTTACTATCTTAATACAGGAATCTCTTTGTCGGGCAAAGTATCTTCAAACAAGTAAGTAATATACATTCAAAATTAGAGAACAATAAAACGATTGTGTGAAAGTAAATTTCTTCGCTGTAGAATACATTCTTCACGATGTCATTTAATCGTTATATTTCTTCATTGGTGTTTGTATATTAATATGTATTATGTAAATACATCAACTATTGCGAAAAATCACTGTGCATTAATTGTACGAATTCGAATGTAAAAGTCATTTTTAATGGAATGTATAATTACTGTGAAATATGAATAAAAAAAAATTGAAAAGAACTTACAGCTGCTTGGTGAATGTGCTAAATTTCAGCACTGGGCACTGCTGGGGCACTGCACTGGCTACGAACGGACAGTTACGGTGGCACACTGACAATGAACAACATTTAGGTCTCTTACAGCTTGCAGCAAAACGGATTGGTTGGTATGCACTTCGCTTTCTGCATGCGATGGATAATTCTATACTGCGTGGCATGTATTGCGTATCTGGCGTGGGATACGAAATACAAAACGAATACTGATAGCCCATTGTTTTGAGCAAATATTACCTTTTTCACTTAGGAAAGCGATATATACGCGAATATCGTATTTAACTTTTGTATTAATATTGTTTTAATGTTTTAATAGTATTACCATGTATTCCAGAATAAATACAGGTTCCTTATCAACCATTGTTCCGAATAAAAAATATTTAGAATACAGCTTTTGCATATATGGACTTCCGTGGATGGATATATATTACACTATGCATTAATATATCAATTTTTATACAATTTTTTTTAGTTGAAATCGAAAGGAAGGAATATTAAAAGCATTATCTATTTATTTATTTTTTCTTGTTAAATAATGCAAACGAAGCTCGATGTAAAGTATCATATCTTTAATTCAGAAAAATGTTCACATGTATACCAAATTTGATTGAAATATATTCGGCTGTTTTTTAGACGTGAACTAACATCCACATACGGAAAGAAAAATTTTGAAAATACATTGCTAGTTTTGACGTTAACGCTTCTGTTTTATCTCGTAATTTGTTTGTTTGTAATATTTGTACAGCTACGACGAAGATACGTATAGATAGGCTCAAGGAGAACAAAAAGCAACACTGGCTTAAATAAATAGTACAATTTATAAATAAATGAACAGAAAACGTAATGATACAAAGTTTATCGTAAACTGAAAGCAAACAAATATTTTTCGTAAGATATTTTTGTTTAAAAAACACATTCTATATGCTTTTTGAAAAATTAGTTATGAACAGTATTATTTTATTTGATTAAGTCAGAACTTTTTCAGGTACAATAAAATTTATTGGCAATGAATCACTTACATTGTTACAATAGGGAAAGAAAATCATTCATAGATGTAACGTTTTACAATAGTTATTTGTAGAATTTTATTACACCTTTTATTATTTAAATGTTAATTCTATGGTATGTAAATTACGCTGGGCATAATATGGAGACGGATTCGACGTAATATTGTGTGCTTGTAACAAAGAAGAAAGTACTAAGTAGCATGTGAAACGAATGATCGATAGAAACGTCTATCTTAGATAGATTAAAAATTACTATAACGAAATTAACAAAAGATTGTTGACTGGATTTGAATATCGTTCATATATAAGTAGGTAATTTTGAAAAGTGTCTACGATTTTGTGCCTACGCGTGTTTCGCTATAAGCTCCTCCTCATAACAAAATTGTATGTTATAGAAAATCAAATATAATAATTACAATTTTTACTATTTATTATACTATATCGTCGTAAAGTATATTTAAAGTTTCTTGCTGCACCATCGCATTTTATTTACAATTCTAAATTATGTCTGATTTATGCTTTTTTTATTAAGCCAATGTTATGTCTCGAGTTAAAATGATAATGAATTCATTAAAAAAATCATAAGATTCAGTAGGGTCCATTCCATTACACATGAATGCAGACTGTTATTAGTTATATTACCATTTGAAATTGATCTATTATAATAAAGTAATGTTTCCTTTACAAGCTATTATCGCTATTAATAATAAATTACGTAATTTCTATGTTATATAAAACACATACATATAAATACATTTTTATGAGGTGTATGCTACTGAATATGGATATACATCTTCCTAGCGCCAGAGGAAGAAGAAGAATAAAATTATTAATGTTGTATAATGTATAATGTCTTCTATTAATGTTGCTAAAATGTTTAGCAGGGCAATACTTCTTATTTTTGTCACAAAGTTTTTAAAAATATTTTTTTCCCCGTAAAATTTGACTATTCATTTATTACGAAGTCATACATATTTAATGAAATTTGCGACGTAAAATACTTAAATACGTAAATAATAACAATGACAAATATACTAAAGTAAAGAGGTGATCTCGATGAAAGAGAATAGTTTATTATTCTCCAAATTGCTGAAACAAATGTTACTTTTCTTTCATCCGTTCTTCTCTTCCTCTGTGTCCTATTTCTACATTATATATGTATAGGATGTGGCATCTAACGCGATAATCCTACTATCTTTCTTCTGACAATGGAAACCATTTGAGAAAGAAATATTTTAATTTTGGATGGGTGAATGCTTGGCAGTATATTTATTTGAAAATTACGTTTTTTGAAATTGAAAGTCATCGATGTTTTGTTTGAAAAGACTACATGGAACTGGCCATGTTGATACAGGTCACTGAACTCTCTTCGATGTTAACTAGAATACTATGCACAAAAAATATATAATGGTTAAAAAAAAAAGTTATCAATGACTTTCACATTTCGACAAAAATTACCCTAACTTGCGTTCATATTTCTTCTTCCATGACAACAATTCGATATGTGTCAACGAAAACGGCGATTTTCGGGGTGATAACGTTAGAAGCCAAATCTCGTATGTATATTGAGATATAGTATGATAGTAAACATTTATAAAACAGTTTATTGCAGTGTTTGAAAAACACAAATTTATAAATTAAATAAATTACATTATATATAGAAAGATAATACATGATCAGACTTGTGAGTGCTTACTGAATTTTTAGAAACTGCTAATATTATTTAATGTACTTTTGTATGTACTATCCTATGAATAAGCATTGCTTAAAAACAGGCATAATTAAAATTGTTACGATAACGATACTAACACGTATAGTTGTTATAAATGTTGTGCACGATTGTAGATAATATGTTGCTACGAGCACCAGATATATTAAATCATGGTCAGCTGCGTAACATTAAAGATGAAGAATAAGGTCGGTCGTTACCGACGATAGTGACCGATTAAACTGTCATCAGACGTTTCTCGGAACTTCAAAGAATACAGTTTTTGTTATATACGTTATGATGTTGAATGCGTGTGTTAAATGTGTCGCACCTATGCAACTGCCACTATCAACTGTCGCAACTCAGGTGGTGGCTTTAAATGTGTCTGGCATTCTACAAGTAAAGACCCCTAGTTATGATGCATATGAGAGAACAGGACACTTTGAAAAGGACTGTCGCATGAAGGGAAAGTGCCAGGGAAATTACAAAAAGTCAGTGTAACATTTATTCCACCACGGGAGAGAAAGATGAAAATTTTAATTGAAATTGGCAATTCAAAACATGCGAGGAGTTCTTTGTTGTCCAAATGGTTGAAAATGGAAAATAAACATAAATTTGCACCTAAATACTGATCGTTACTCGGCCTCTGGAAGCACATTACTTTAACTTTAGTAGTTTCTTACAGTTTTAGCTGAAATTGGCTATTTGTGTATCTTCTTATACACGATTGTGTATGTACATGCATTGTAAATAAGAAAAAGGATATATGTCTACTTATACGGTATAGTTATAAGGACGATTTTACTAGAAATAGTAAAGATGCGGCTCAATTTTCTGCTAAAGACTACTTAACGGAAATGTACATTGTGCAGAAATATAGGCCAGTCTTTGATAATTACATATTTAATAAAATTGTCATTTCATGTCTTTGAGTAACTTGAAATTAGTACGTAAGTTTAGATATGTTTTTGTACAAATAAAAGTGAAAGTAGCTTAATAATGAAAGAACAACAGATTCTACGAAAATGTTGTATCATTCCATATACTTAGGAGTGAAAATCTTATTATTTAAAGATAGTGTAACATGTATTTATAAAAGGACATTCGTCAAAAAAACTAACCTTATGAAGATAGAAAATGGCATAATGATAAAGATATTTGAAGTTCATATTTTACATACAACTCTAATGGTATCACAAAACATGCCACGTAAATTCTTTAAAAGCAACAACTCAAAACTGATCAAAGGAAACCTTAACGAATCCAGTCTATTATCTTCTTCACAAAACTGGAACTTAAATAACAATCCTTCGGTATCAAAAAACAAAGATTCATAGAATAGTAATACGTAATTCAATAATAATGTTTGCTTCATAGATAATGTAATTTTAATCATTCTCATTTTCGCTGAACTAGCGCATACAAACAAAGATTTGAAATATAAATACATCAAATCAACATCATAGATTCTTAGTCCTATTACGAATAATTTACTTGATTTTATACTAGTAAAAAAAACAATAGAATAATAAAGTTTTCATTTTAAATATTCTTGTTCAAATGGCAGTTATCGATATAGCACAATCTCTTATTTTCTTATTAGTTCCCTCGTTAATATAAGACCAATGGTAGTATATATTTTGAATAATTTCAATATACTTAACGTGTGTTACGATTTCAAAAATTATTCATCGTAATCGCGGCAGAAAACTATGTGAACGTACTGCACATAATATACACGTGTATATATTCAATACAATGTTTAGTACATTGCTATACAAAGCAATTTTCATTGTTTAAATTATACACTTACCCCTGTACCGACAAGCGTACCTCAAATAAAATCGAAAAGTGACTCGGGATAAGTTACTTTTGACTTTTTTGTGCAGAATTATATACAGGTTTCTAATACCAAATGACCTTGCGACGTATCTCAGAAGGCCTCAACGAAACTCGCTGGAAAAAGTCCTGTGCGACCCGTTCTTTGTTGTGTACCCTTATACCAACCATCATCGCGCTTTTTATGTACATAAATAATGTCTCCAACACGAAGTTCTAGTTCGAATTCACTGTTAGGTGGATATGGCACGATGCAGCGGAATCTGTATACTCGCTCTCTGAAGAAACGAAGCGGTTATTGGATTAAATTATAGGACAAACAAAGAGAATTATCATTTTGGCGAAGTGCAAATTTTATACCGTTCACGAGAAGGTTGCTGTTTTGTCTGTTTCCCCATACCAGCATCTAAAGAGTTGCTCTTACGGTGATGATTTCCGACTGTCGTACACACCATTCCACCCGATTCGCTGGATCTATTAACGTTTAAAAAAAATGTGAGACCAAACGTAATCGGGTGGGTAACACGAAATATTTATTAATTATATGCAGTGGTTATGAATCGAATGCACGAATTCTAAACTAACGGGCAAACTTTCAATAAAAATTGGTGATCGTAAAATAAAACAATAGAAGCAATTAAAAAACATGACTAAGTAAAACAGGCGTGAAACATAATGCTTTAATGCTATCCACATACTAAGCATTTATAACATAAAAAGGTTTTACAAATTTCTGTGAACATACTTACCTAAACATGGCATTTAATTGTAAATGTTAATGTAGACAAACATATGCACCACACAATTATTATATACACAGTAATTTGCATAAAAGGCAATATTGAATTACCATTTTATATATGAGCTGAACAAATATATTTTACTGCGAACGCTAACGTTTCTGTTACTGTATCCGACGAATAACTTATAATTACAAGCAACGACTAACCTCTGGAGGATCGAGACCGGTAAAGATGGTCTCTCCTTGTATTTAAGTCTTTGTGAAGATGTGACGTGCCCTTGTACAGAGCCTGGACACAAACGATGATGGTTGTTTGAAGCATTTAATTCCTGCGTGGCTCCCACCTGTAGCAACTGACTTGGGCAAGATCCCGATCTAATTTTAAATATACCCACCCAACCCACCCCCCCATGTAGAATTAGACAAATAATTCAAGACGTGCAGCTCATATTGCCTTAAAAAAAAAATATAAAAAAAAAAGAAAAGAAAACGAATCGAGATGAAACTTAATACTTTATACTATTCTGTACATTATACGAATGACCTTCTAGTTTTTTTTCATTGTATGCACAAGCATCAAAATTCATGCAGTGATTTCAATAAACGTAAAAAGTGTATACCTGCACGACACATAGTGAAGGTACATACACACATATACATATGTGTACACAAAATCAAAACGAACTTGAATAACAGTACATGCGAATTATTAATAAATCGTGTTAGGTACGCTATTGACATGCAAATTATAATTAAGGATCATTAAATTGATTTATTAGAAATTGCGTTATTATTTCGATGTGTTACATTTGACGCGTTATACTTGTATAAAGCGTGGGGCTGTCGTTTTTGTAACAATATAGAAATCTTACCGAACGTGTACTGGGTTGATGGAGTTACCATCGTCGAACACAGGATTATCCATTGAATATGTAGTAGGAGGCGGAGATTTTGATTTCTTGATATTAGTTAATCGACGCATTAAGGACACACATTTATCTTTTTTCTCCTTCTGCTACGATTTAAAAATACAAATATCGATTCATGGTCACGTGATAAGAATAATGATTCCTCGGTAGATATTGCAAGACCAAATTTATATTAGTCAAAATATGATTAAATGATCTATGAACATACCTTTTCAGTATTTTTGGATGCAGTAGCAGCAGTGGCAGGGGCAGAGGAAGGAGACGCAATCGCGCGCAAAGTACTGTTCGGGCTTCGATTCATTTCAGTTACGATGGAAGAAGTAGCAGCGACAGTTGCGATGGAACTACTATTACTGATTCCAGAAATAGTAGTCGTAGTAGTCAACGATTGCGGTAAAGTTACCTGTTTCCCAGGTGAAGCTGCAATATAAAAACGTCTCGTACTGTTGATATCGAACGGTTAATATAATTATTACGTACAAATATTCGATGACATCACAGCGCTGTGACTACGTCCAAGTGGATTCACCGGATTTTGTTCACTGTGTCGAGGAGGACTTTTCTCCTGACTTTGCGTTTGACTTTGACCGTGCCAAGACGACGATACCACCGAAGAAGGACTGATAGCGCGTGGTGGTAATTCAGGTGGTAGCAATGTACGTGGATTATAAGGCTGTGGCGTGGGTCGTTTATTTTTGGTGTATATCAAGGTAATCCGCGACTCGGTCGACGATGGAAAGTTCTGATGTTGTCCTGTATTCGGTGGTCCTCGGCATAGACTACGTTGGCATCTGTGCAAATATATAGCCGTTTAAAAGATTAAGAAATTATATCGCGAATATAGTTGGGTAATGCTTCACGTACTTAGCAGGAGCAACATAATTTCCAGGAAAGACTCCACATTTCTGAGTACGGTTAGAAGTTCCTTTAAACCAGCCGTCCTGACAACGTTCCATCACCATATAAATTCCACCTTTCCTTAATTCGAGCTCATCCGCTTTCTGCGGTTTGTATGGGTACAACGCTATGTATGCAGCAGGTAAATGACTATTGCTGGTCGTGGTAGCGGGCAAACTTTGCGACGGTTGCACGAAGACGAGATCGCTACTACCACTTCGTCTGTGTCGAAGGCTGTGATCCACATCGCTGGCGCTAGTCTGATAAACGATAAATTTATAATAATTAAATCGATATTTTGTAACATATAAGTGAAAATTCTTACCTGTAATGGGGAGAATGAATCGTTGCTGCATCCGCTATTGCTGTTTCCAACAGCATTGTCCACAGGTGGACTAAGTATTTCAGCGCTGTGTCTGTGGTGGGGATGAGCTTGATGACCAGTGTTAACAGCAGTGAAGCTATGACGCTTGATATTGTGTCTATTTCCAACTGCTGGAGGAGATGTTGCCGGGCTGCTAGGGCTGCTCGGAGCGGTGCTAGAACTACTAGAAGTACTTGAACTATTGGGAGTATTTGGAGTAGTTGTTGAAGAACTACCTCCAGACGATACATTGGAAACAGTATCGGAAACGGGTAAAGCTGTATTCTGTTGAAAGATATATTAGGAATTAGTATATTTCTTCTTACTTATTTTATGTTATGAAACAATTCTCATTAAAAAAAATGTTAACTGATAGAAGTTTAAAAATATTACGAAACCTGCATAAGTTGCGGCCGTGGTTGACTTGTTGTTTGTACGTTACGCGAATGATCGGTTGGTATTAGGGGTGTAGTTTCTTCATTAGTAGGAGTTGGGGGTGCTAATCTTGATGGACCAGGTTGTACACTAGACAAGAAAAATACAATCATCATAGACATAGACACAAGCATTAACTTTACTCTGTAAACTCATAAAAATTACTTTGTTGAAAGTTTCATTAAAGCTCTTGCCACGCTATTCAGCTCCACAAAAGCCAATGGGAAGATGCCAATTCTATCCAAAAGTTTTCCTTCTGCCCAATTTTCATCCACTCTTCTGATAACACTAATTACTTCACCCTATAAAAAAGTATTTATTTTCCTCGCATTCTAAGGACAAAATGTTATATAGAATCAGATAAATTTACAATCAGGTTACCTTATTAAATGTAAGGCAGCCATCCTCATCATCATTTGTCATCCTAAAATCATAGAGAGCTTTGCATTGAGGAACATGTGGCGTCAATGGTGTCATTACCTACAACACATAATTAATTAAAGTAAATACAAAAGCAATATTTGGTAAAATATTCGAAACAGTACCTGAACATAAGACAATGGAAAAACTCCATAATTGTTGGCACTCTCTCCAAAGTACCAATTGTTATCAATCTTTTTCCGAAGAATGACAATGTCACCCTTCTTAAAAGACAAATCTCTGAAATATAAAATGTTAGGTAAGCTTTTCAATTATATGAAAATAATTAAAATGACAAGAAATTATATATTATTACCCCGGAACTTTTGACATGTAGTCATAGATTGCTCTACCATACGCCTGGTTGTGTACTTGAACTTGCTTGGCTGCAGCATTAGCATGTCTCACCGGTTCATTCGCGAATGTGGTAGCCGTAAGACTAGTAGTTACGATAGGAGCTGAAGTAACCTGATGCCCACCGAACAATCTCTGTGGTCCTGAGTTGCTTTTACTCACAAATTTCGCCGTTTGTTTGGGAGCAGCATTGCGCATTCCTTCCAGAATACGCATCAACAATACATTAGGTGGTAGATCATCCACTTTAGCGTCGACCAAAACACGGCATTCGGGACATCGTAATTCTCGATGGGTACTGACAATCTCCTCTAAGCATTTCTTGCAGAAGGTATGCTGACAAGGTAGCACTTTGCTCGATGTATCCAACCGTTCGAGGCATACCGAGCATTCCAATAAATCGTTCAACATGCACTCGTCCATTCTGACGAGCTTTCGATCACGTTCACTTTCGAAGATACTTTTCAGTTCGTGTTTCCCTGCACCCGTTTTCTCGGTACGTGCTTCCTCTTGCTGCCTCTGATCTTCCCACGCGTCCCGTCTTTGTTGCACCCATAGACCGCCATACACCTGACGCACTTACCTCTCCATGTAACAGGCGATAACGTAACTTAACGAACGAACATAGTCCACCAGTGAATCCACATCGCGTGCAAATACGCGGGCATGTTACCTGATATCTTCCGTAACTTTCGAACGCTACTTTTCCATCCTTTCATTCACCGCAAAACGGATACCTCTCGTTAAGTGCGTCAGTATACGCGCTGTCATCTTAGTGTTCGTTATATCGCACGCATACACGCGCACGAATCAAAACCATATCGATCAATCGGGACTCTCGTCGATTGCAGTCGATTCTAAAACAGGCCACAAATGCTTTGCAAGTTACGTATATATATATGTTCTGTAATCAAGGATGTTACTATGGAGGATATTTGTAGCGACTAAAATAAAGTTTGCAAACGGAAAGGTAAAAGGAAATTTACTTTGAAATTCTGCTAAATATACGCCATCGATAGGGTTTACTTTTGACGGTTGATTCTGCTTCGAATGTGAAGCAATGTGAAGTAGTAAAATTCCATTTTTTCGAGAAATTTTATGCAGAGAACTTGCGAGAATCAGTTGCTGTTTGTAGTCGTTTATAGTCCTCTGGTGGCAGACTGGACAAGTATAGAGGCAGTGACGTACCAACATTTTTTGTGCCTTTAGGCAATAAATTATTTTACTACGTTTTAATCTATGTTATTTAAATAAAGTATCCAAAACATTCTTCATATGGCTAGAATTCCTCCTCAAGCTGGGACGTATCGAAATAACAGAATATGTCGAAAACGATATAGTGATTATGAAAGGTTTAAATAACCCTGTCTAGTGTTTTATGTATTAGAAGCTTATCGAGGAGGGGAAGAGGTTCAGTTATGTTTCAGATCGTATTCCCCTCAAATGGCAAGAATTAATGAACACGTGTGTATACAAGGTTGAAGTAGTTGAACGTTACTCGGTTATTCCTTCCATAGGTTCAGTAGTTGGAAAATGGCGGCATCGAAAAGTCAGCGTTGGATGGTAGATTCCGGGATTCTACGTAAAAAGAATGGAGAAGAGGAGCCACAGGAGCTGTTGGTGTTTGGATATAGCTGCAAATTATTTCGAGATGATGACAAGGCGAAAATGATTGATCAAGGAAAGCATTTGATACCATGGATGGGCGATAGCACGTTGAAAATAGACAGGTCCGTTTCCCTAACCTAGACAAAATTTATCATCTAGGATATTTAATTATTGCATAAACGCACCGTACGTGTAACCTTTAGAAGAACGATGTCAGACAGAACTAAGCAATGTGCAGCTGTTCAAAAAACGCAACCACGAGTGGTTAACGTACGGATAAGCAATCTGGAGACTGTTTAAGGTTTCTGCAGGTGTCTTGGCTGCGAACAGGTGGTGTGGAAGCGCGGTATACGCGCTCTACACGACCGCAGAGCAGCGTGCTCTCGCGATGCTGGTGCTTATGGCTGACCGTCGGTGCAGCAGCAAGGTGAGACACAGCGTAGAGAGACAAACGGCAGCTGACGGTTGTATGTACTACAATCGCTCAGCATGGTATGTATTAGCGTTCTAGATTCGGCTTTACCTGGCATAAACACCCAACGCGATTAATGTTATACATGGTACGGATAGCTTTATTACATAAAATATGCAGTTATGGTGTATCATATATTGGATCATTTGAAATCTATTACTTGGGAAGAAATATTAATTGCTCACAATTGAGTAAACATTGTCAAGGATATCCTGAATTTTGTTTGCGTATTCTAAAGCATCAAGTTGTTACTAGCATCTAGTCTACGATACCTTGTGTATATCTTCCTGTATAGTTTGTAGTCATGGATTTGTACAATGAAAATGCATAATGCGATAGTAAACAAGACAAATGTAATAGAATGTCATTGAGTTTTGTATAACTATTCTATTTCAGCTGAATGACTTTGACATGGGGTTTGCTTCGCGGCATAACTTTCAGATGCCGAGATCATCCAAACAAACTCTCAAAAAACACGCCACTTTCTTACCTTAATTCGGTCATTGTATGTGTATAGGTACGATGGACGCGGAGCGCTGGGGGACTTAAGGATATACGAACCACCAACAGGTGGTTTCGACCAACGAACGATCCTTACAGAGGATGAACTCAAAGTGGAACAGCTATGCGACGAAGAACGGTATCGATCTCTTTACAACAACGACATGGAAGACTCTGTATACCAAGGTAGGGTGATCTTGACGCGTAAAACACCGATCTGAGTAAAAACATTGGGGGAAAACGTTAGGAAAGTGTTAACATGACGCGAAATGATTACAGAAGAAGAAATGAAAAGACTGCATCAAGCCCTGGATTCAGAGAACTCGTATGGTCAGGTAGCGTATAATTACAACGAGGAAGGGAACGGTCAGAAAATCACATGCGAAGATTCGCAAAGTCCAAAGCAATCGGAAGGTTCTCAGGAAGAGGATCAGGCTTTCGTTCCACCTCCTGAGCTGGAAATTCCAGAGGGTATTTCACTGGTTCGTTGAAAGTACAAAGTTCTCGCGATCGACGAAACCACGAATCCATAAAACTTACGCTGGGTGTTTCTTCAACAGCCGGAAACGCAGAAACTGAACGCCATCATAACGAAAACGGCGTTGTTCATAAGTCGCCAAGGAGGTCAAATGGAAATCTTGATTAAAGCGAAGCAGGCAAACAATCCACAGTTTTCGTTTTTGTCGATAGACGGACGGCTACACCAGTATTACAGATACATACTGGATGCGATCAAGACCGGAAAGTACAATCCCGAAAAGCAGCCCGAAAAAGAAGAATCCGGTACGCATATTGTTTTATTTAAGACGACCATCTTGTGGTAATGTTGATTTTTATATTATCGAGTTGAAATGATTGAAGCAACTTAAAGCAGGATTTGATTACCCACATCTACTTTGAATTCTACTTAGTTTTTCTTGCCGTAAGTACTTCTACGCATATTTGTTAATGTACACCGATCTCTGTGTGACACGTAGGAAGTATTAGCGAACATGAGCGTGCACATTCTATTTGTCATTCTTTTTAATGATAGAACCTGAAGAAGGATCGTCGGATCAGGATGACGAGCCGTATCTCCATCCGAGTCTGGCGCCGTCTTTCACCAAGATTGAAGCGGTACGTCTCAAAGGGATCAAATTATAATATTATATCTATTATAATTGATCTCAATAATTTCTATTTGTGTTTATAGGCTCCCAGTATTCCGAGTATACAGTATAAACCGTCCGCGGATTGTGCTTATTCGATGCTCGTGAATAAAATCACTGGTAGGCCGCCACCGTCAAAGATATCGCAGGTTCCTGAGACTCCTGTTCAGTCAGCGGTTCCCACCTTAGGATACTATCATCCCGTGCCAGGGCAGGTAAGTCAAGGGCAATATAATGTTGATATCATATTACAATGGCCAGTGGTCAATGACAAAGCGATCGAATGGAGGCTAATTGAAATGTAAACACCCTTTTATGTCTTTCATGGTTCAATAGGGCTACAATCCTTATCCAGCACCTGTTCAGTACTCCCATGGTCCGGTGGCATACGGACCGAACGGACAAATACAGTCGCCAGGTCATCTCCCAGCCGTAACCGTACCACCATCTGCGATCGACCCGGCTGCGGGGCATCCACTAACCATCGACTCACCCGTGTCCTTGGTCCCTTACGGATCCACACCTCAAAAGCAATTGAGCAGACCTTCGTTCATCGTACCACCGGCGGACGTTCAAATAGTCATCGACAAAATGGCTAGTTACGTGGCGAAGAACGGTAGAGACTTCGAAGCGATCGTGAAGAACAAAGGCGATCCAAGGTTCAATTTCCTTGAGCTGTCGCATCAATATCACGGGTATTACGCGCACAAGTTGACGATCTACGAGGGCGCTATCAACCCTAAAGTATTAACGGAGGAGGAGTTGCTGCAGAAACAGGAGCCGCTGGAGGAAAAGCAGAAGAAGCTAGAGGAGCTACAGAAGAAACAGCAGCGAATGGAGGAAGTGCAGAAGAGGGTGAAGATGATACAGGCGAAAAAGAAATGCGACACGAGGACGAAGCAGACCGCGACGGGAACCAAGCAGATCACCACCGTGTCGTTCTCTATTAAGAAGCCCAAGGACGGGGAGACCGGGATCGAGAAACGGAATGCTTTGCCTTTGGAGGAGAGCGATGACGAAATGGAAAATGAGAACAAGGATTCAAATTCTAAACCCAGCTCTCCTCAAAGTAGCGAGCAGAACTCTTTAGGCGTCCTAGGGATGGATAAAGACGCGTGGAAGCCGGAGAAGAAGTCGAAGAACGAGGAGAAGGAGTTGGTGGATCTTACCGATGAGATCCTGGAGGATTGTCAGAAAGAGATCAGGCACAAGCAGGCAGAGGACAGAATCAAGGATAAATTGGTCGCGGCAGCAAGAGACAAGCTAGCAGCTACGTCTAGGGAGAGACAATTACAGTTGGAGAGGAAGAAGAAAGCAGCAGCGTTTTTGAGTCAGATACAGACTTCCGTCCTGTCGAGAGCTAGCGGAACGACTAGCCAGGGTACGCGAAAAGACGACTCCGACGAGGTACATTCTGTCCCGTCACCGTCGCCCTCGCCGTCGTTTGACGACGTGAAATCGTCCGATTCGAGGACTGGTGGTAACTCGTTGATGGATAGATTGAAGAGCGCTGACTTGACTGGCAAGAGATCCAGGCCAAGATCGAGGAGTCCCAACGGGAGTCGAGGTCACGCGGATAGACAAAAGTATCACAAGAGGCACAAAAAGAAGAAAAGTTCTCACAGAAGGTATTCGTCTTCCTTTTTTTATCGACACGTCTGGTGATCGATATAATAGATAGTTTATGTATACAGAGTGTAACCAAGGATCTGACTAGGGACCGAATAGAAAGTTTAATTCCTAACTCTTGAGGTAGTGGTTTCCAAAATTGAGTTCGAAGTTCGGAGTACTTGATTACTAATATTTTTCTTTCTGCCTTTTATTAAATCGTAGCAGTCACGATAGTCCAAGCAGTTCTCGGTCGCACAGATCCAAGAAGAGCAAGAAGACCTCCTCCAAGCATAGATCACGATCGCGAACACCGTCCAGGAGACACCAGCACAGTGCGCGACGAAAGGGAAGCAACTCGTCCTATTCGGACTCGAGCTCGCCATGAATTTGTACTTCGGTTGACTTTACACGTGTAAAAATGTATATACATGCACATACGTAAGTACATAACACATGCATACATACATATACACATACATATACGCAATATATGTATTAGCGTGCGTGTCCGACTATTATCGCATCGACGATGATTTTAATACAACTTTTGTCCACGGAAAAAAAAAAAACATCATTGAATAATAAAATGTAGTACGATTACTCTCACATATATCGCTCCCACCCAAAAATTACCGATTCGAATTAGAATAAGAGATTACATTTCACGTAGATAGGCTCTAAATAACCATTCGCTTGAAAAAAACGTAAATAAATAAGAATAAAATGCTCTTCGCGACGAAGACGAAAATATTTGGATCGTTTACCGATTGACGTAATTGATTACGAAAGAAGAGTTCATGGGAGAATATCATCTACAACACTGAGATTTCTCTCGCGAGGTCAAAAATTGCAACGAAGGGTATCTTACGTTTAAATTACCTAAATTAAGGGGTATCTCAATTTAACGCAAACAGCTTAATTTGCAATTAAAAACCTGGCCTATCTAACGAAAGCATCGATCGCAGCGCGAATATTAAAGGTTATCAAATCAAAGTATTCCACGCGCTCGCGTACGCAGCATCGATAAATTCATCGTGTGAGTACGCATCAATCGTTTGCGGATACATCGAATACATCGACCGCGATATATTCAGTCGAGAGTTTTTTCCATACGTCTTCGTCTTTCCTTTGATCCCGCATACACCCGTTCACGTCCCTCTAACTGTCCCGTCGATTGAATAAGTAATAGCTCTTTCCATATTGCATTCGCGACATGGAAATAGCATCGACGTTTTATGCACTTAACATCGATAGAATATAGACTGTCCCAGGAGTTTATTTCTGTTTCGCGCGAAATCAATTGTCGCCTAATTGAGTTTAATAAATCATGAACGCGCGGTTTCAACTACGCAGAAGTCGCGTGCGCCTCGCGCGAGGTACGCGCGGCCGAACACCTGTTTCAACTTTTTTACGTGACGAATAGTTCGCGAGGAAAGGCATTTAACGTCTGCTTTTTCTTATTTATTATTAATTTATTATTCTGTATTAGTGGATAATGTCTGCATCAGGACCGTCAAGCTATTTAAATTGTTTTAAAGAGGCTGTTAATAATTCTTTTTGCCTTGGGGAGAGAAATATTGACTTGCGAAACCGTCAGATAATCGAGACGTATTTTAAACAATAACAACTTTTAGTTCGATAACCTCAGGTTTTACCTTTCCTGAAAATATATATACTTTTCTAACATTATTCCTTCTAATAGATTACCTTCTAATAGATACGTAAGTATTAGGTTGTCCCAAAAGTTTCTTTCGTTTTATTGATAATTAATACATACACAATATTTTATGTTTTATGTTACATTACAAAATTGTGTACAATTCATTTCGCTCCATTACTGTTACAGCGTCAATGTCTAAAAGCTTAGATTGTCTATTTATATAAACACTGCCGCAGAAAATAATTGAATGCAACTCACGAAAGGAACTTTTAGGACAACCTAATATAATGCTAACTACTCTAAAAACATAAATTTAAGAAATGTTCTAACAATAACGCAACGTTAGCAATTTTTAGCTCCAAGAAAAAAGCGAACACTCGCACGTGTTTGACTCGCATCCATAATCTTGAATTATCCGAATTTTTACATCGATAACCATTCAAGATCTGAACACGATTCACGGCCGAATGGAATTTTTATCCCCCTTGTTGCGCGTCGATTGGACCACGCTTCCCCGAAGACTTAATCGCTCATGGAATAGGACAGCCTTTCACGAGTCGAAAGAACAAAAAATCCTAACACGGCGACAATTTTGTCCATATCGCTCTTAGGACAATCCAAGCATTTTTTTTCGTCGAATGAAGAGTGCCATTCATCGATGCGTGACTGTACAGCCGTTATATCGGCGCGTCTTTTTTTTTTTTTTTTTTCGCACGATTACCTCCGTTGTTGCTTGCATAATGGCGTTCGTAATATCGTTATGCCTCGATAATTGCGAAATGTGATTTCATTTCCGTCCAAAAGAGATCATCATTCAACGGAAAATTTATGCAATGAACAGAGTTGGGAAAATTTAATTCAAAATAAACAATTAAAGTTCCAGATCCGTTCGTCGAAATAGAAACTGGCAGGATGTCGTCTTCTTGTAGACGTTAAAATCGCTCGCCACGCGGTGAACATCGGAGGGATTGGATCGTATCTACTTCCACGAATAGATTTGGAATTTATATTAATTATGTAATTATCTAGAAAAATATCGAGCACCCTTACGCTAATAAAAAATGTGTTTCCGAGCTCGTAACGAGCCAGCTGGACTGTGCGTCCATTGTTTGCGCGGGAGGAGGTCTCGTTGACGGAAACCAAGTACCCATAGATCATCCGATTATTTTACGCGACGGTGGAGTACGCTTTGGTAGTGGAATCGTTTAATTCCACAATATTTTTTTAATCGTATACGTTCGGCTGTTTAGAAACCGCTCGCGTTTGTGTTGGTTTGAGATATCGTGCATCTTACATACACACACATGACCACACTTTGATCAACCAGAGGCCAAGGGTGAATTGACTCAGATTTATAAGTTAACTCGATCTCTTGGGACTCAGTCAGTCAGTGTTGCATTCCCAATACCAGCCGCAATATACCCGTGTAGACACAGATGTCGGCCAAGACGATCGTAAGTATCGCCGACGAACGCGTCGATAGATCAACGACTCCGTTCGTTGGGGCACGTTTCCTCAGTCGTTCGTTCTCGATCAAACGATCGCCACCGCTGGATCGTTCTTTTTTTTCTTCATTTTCATTTATCCTCTTCCCTCGATCTTCTCTCGATCATGTTTGCTGCGCAAAAAAGGGAGTTAATTTTGAAGCTATTCATTCTCTTCTCTTTTCAATTATTTATTTATCTACTTCATCGATGGGCACCCTGAGATGATAATAAATTACAGTGGAGAGTGCAAGTATTTATCGAGTGATGCAGGTTGCTGATACTAAGAGAAAAATACGTGCGAAGTGATCGATGAACGACAGAATTACTAAATACGTTTCATCGTGTATCAATCATGCTCGAGGGAGAACAACAATTTCTCAAAATCAGAGATTTCAATTAACGCAGGATGAATTATTATTTAAGTACGTAAGATATGTACAGGTGGATTTGTTATAAATAGAACGATAGGCCTCAATGTGCAGTACAGAATGTTTCCTCAGTGGTATATTAGATACGTAGTGCCCAAGCTAAGAACCTTTTTCCATTTAGAGTGTATTTTCTTTTAAACTGGACATTGATATAGTCTTTATAGAAATAAAGATCTAATACATGTATTGACAACAATTTTAGTAGAATTGCAACCTGCTGCGAAATCACTGTAAAATTGACGCACCATATGGAAAGAAACAGCAATGTTTCAAATCCTTCAAAGATTCCACACCTACAACTTTCTCGTTTCTAAATTGAAAATATAAAAAAGTTGCTGCAAGTAAAGAGACGTATTTGTCATATTTTATAAACGAATAACCACAAGATTTTAAAACATTGCTTTCCATCTCTGAGTGGATCCCTAAGCAAAGTAGATCTAGAGTAGATCCTTAAGATCCTTTATTTCCTCTGTTTGAAATTCAACACGTAGATCGCTGTAAGCGATACTTCATCGACGTAACGAAGAGATCTATGGAGATCGCGAGACCAAATGTCTCCGCGATGTCCTATCGGCGAAAAGACAATCGAAAGTGGAACGAACGATGCCATCAGAAGTAACAAGTCGTTACGAACGAAACCTTTGTTTCCCAAAGATAAACGATGAAGATTTACAGAGGCAAAGGTACTACCTTTCGACAGTGTTTCTCAGAAGTGGGATCAAGATGATTACTTAGAGGGAAAATGAAGTACAGTGAATTCTTTCAAAGTGACTTGGAAATTGTGACACAACAAGGGTATTGGAAATTTCAAATAAACAATGGTCGATATGGTTAAATTGAATAAGTGATACGCAACGAGAGTTTTCGTATACGTCACAGTGGAAGTGGATCGTACAATGAATCTAATATCCATAACTCTGTGATGTTTCGATAGGAGAATTTCGACAATTATTATAATTCAGAGAATCTCTGAAAGGATTCACTGTAATGACGAGAGATTCGTTTGATGACAGCCGCAGTCGCAGAGGCAGTCCATTCTGGACCCATCGGAGAAGTTGCGTCCAGAGGCAGTCTACGATGGGAAACTGCAGAGTCAGTTCAGGAATTTCTCGGAGGACCACACGGACCCCATGAAGGTCCGTGTTCAGAAAACGTATCATCATATGCACACCAATCAAACCGTGGAGTTCGTCAGATGTGAGTAATACAAGAAAGAAATGGATAAATGGATCTTTCTGTTCGTATATGGACAATAGCTACACTTGTACCGATTACAATTTTACAACTCCAATCGTAACAGCCATCCAAAGACAAGCCTTTGACTACCACAAATAAATAATAGCTTCTTTAATATATAGAATAGTTACCAATCGAAACTGACTTCTTCTTCCTTACAATATCAATGTATGCTTGCGTCAAACTTCAATAATCTACGTCTAACATTATTATTTGTAAAAAATCTCCAAAGAATGTATCCTTAAAAAGCTTTTTCAAAACTCAAGCAACCACAGCAAACTATTTCAAAATCCAAACGACTTCTAAAAATCTGTAGTACTTCCTGGAGAGGTCCTCCGACGCTTACCTTTGCTAATTTGCTGTATGCAAGCCTAAGAAATTTATAATAAGAATAGCCTTCTTTTTTAAACTTTTAAACTTTTTAAACTCTCTTGTGGTTTCCCGGTACTTTCGCTCAAATGAATAGCCATCTAGCGGCGAATGGCCGGAAGTAATTTTAGGAGTTTGGTCAGCGCCTCTATCGGGAAAATGCTCAAGTTTGTCGTAAAATAGTTCCCCTGTCGCTCATAGATGGCGCCACAGAGTCTAATACCTGGGAACTATTTTACGACAAACTTGAGCGTTTTCCCGATAGAGGCGCTGACCATACTCCGAAAATTAGTTCGGGCCATTCGCCGCTAGATGGCGACATCAATTCCCGCGGGAAATTTGAATCTCTTTTTATTTAATTAAAGTAAAGTTCATTAGAAGCATTTGTAAACGCTATCGAGTAGTTTAAGAATATTTTTCGTAAAGATTAATCGAATATTATTCGTGCATACGTATCCATGACTGGCGTAATAAGTGCGTATTCAATAATACGACGATATCTCCTAAACTATGAGTGCAAATTGGATACTGTAAAGAACATGCTGTATCCGTATTAGATGCTTCAGCTGAATAAACAATTTATTTTGATACGGATTAAGTGATTACTTTAAAAAATTGTTTGATAATTTGATTAGGTACGTTGATTTGGTACTACAAATTTTAAAGATAAATATATTCTGTCGAGGACTTTCTTGTGGAACTTCTTATGCTCAATAATTCTTCCGTACATTGTTTAGAGATATCTTTAACGATGTAGGGATCGTGTAGATAACCTTTCTTGTTCCTTGTATACGTCATAAAGTAGGATAACTTTGTGCAAAATTTCAGCTTTTTAGGTTCGATGGCTTAGCTTGGACGTTGATGCAAAATTTGCAGCCCCTTTTCACCCCACCAGGGGTTGAATTGTTTAAAATACCGAAATATATGTTTGATTAATTGTATCAAAAAGCGTTAAGACCAAGTTTCAAGCAAATCCAACTACCATTAAAATATTCCTTATACAAACGTTGCAACCCCCTTTTTACTCCTTTAGATCTTAAATTTCGAAATATCCTTTCTTATTCCTTTGTATGCATCATAAAGGATACCTCTGTGCAAAATTTCAGCTTTCTAGGTTCGAGGGTTTAGCCTGGACGTTGATTGTAATCGGTCAGGGCTTCATTCTTATATAAATAGACTACTTAGAGATTGTAATCGAGACGGAACTGTTATTATCGGCGTTCCAGCTCGCATGAAGGAATGGCTGCAGTTCAACAAGTTCAAGATGAGCGTGAAGGATGCTCTGATCAAGCTGAACGACCTGGTGGATGAGAGCGATCCGGACACCAACTTGCCAAACATCGTGCACGCTTTCCAGACAGCGGAGTCCATCAGGAAGGACCATCCTGACTTGGACTGGTTCCATTTGACTGGCTTGATCCACGATTTGGGCAAGGTAAACCCTAGTTTATTTTCTTTGGTACTGAGAAGACGATCGGTGCAAAGCTGACGAACCTGTCGCCTTTTCGTGTTGTTTTCAGGTAATGGCGTTCTACGGAGAGCCGCAATGGGCGGTGGTGGGCGACACGTTTCCGGTTGGTTGCGCTTGGGCTGACTCGATCGTTTATAGGGAGACCAGCTTCGAAAACAACCCTGACGGAAACGACCCGCGATACAAGTAAGGACTGATAAGCATATAGCAGTTGGACTCGAGTAGATATTTTTGCATTTATTGGATCTGAAATTAAAAGAAATTAAACACTGGTTTGTTTGGTTGGCAATTCATTCTCTTCGGGGATTTCACTAGTGAAGAGATGCGTTCAAGTTTTATTTTGAAGGGCCCTTAATTGGATATTAATTCTTCCTCTTGCGTTGTCTTCGAGAATGAACCTTTGAATAATTAAAACAAATTAAATACTGGTTTGTTTAGTCGGCGATATACTCAAATAATCCTACTCGCGAGACCTTTCTAATGGTGTCTAACTTGTCCATTTTAGGACAACATATTTGCCAAGATAATACCCTTCATTCTCTTCAGAGATTACTCTGGCGAAGAGATGCCTTCAAGTTCTATTTTGAAGGCCCCTTGACTGGATATTAATTCTTCCCTTTCTTTGGGAATGAACCTTTGACTGTTTTGTTTCAGCACGAAGTATGGCATGTACAAGCCGAAATGCGGCCTGAATAACCTGACGATGTCCTGGGGACACGACGAGTACCTGTACCGCGTGTTGGTGCACAACAAGACCAAACTGCCCAAAGAGGGTCTGACCATGATACGTTATCACTCGTTCTATCCCTGGCACGCCGGTGGCGATTACATGCACTTCTGCACCGACGAAGACATGGAGATGCTGAAGTGGATCAACGAGTTCAAGTGAGTACAGGTCATTTCGTAATTTGTGTATTTTTGTGTAAGTACACTGGACTATCAACTTCCAGATCTATTACTTGCTTAATAAAACCTGTAAGACACAAGTTGATTCGGGCTATGAATTTCATAAGACGTGCAACGAAACTTTGTTCAATAATTAACCCTTTGCACTCGAGAGGTGACTCTCAGTCACCACTAGGTTTGACGCAGCAAATCTACCATCAATGTTACTTTAAGTTTTATTTCTTTGGAACTCGAAGTGTCGATAAAATGATTGTCGATGATTGTCGTGGCGATAGAATGCTAAGAAAGCATCTCGAGTTGCTGGTAGATACCAGAAAAAAAGGCCTCGAGTGCAAAGGGTTAACACTAAACCTTCTCACGTTTCATTTGGACCTATTTCTACCGCGATCGATCAAATTACTGGTCTTAATAAAAGTAAATTGAATAACGAAAGAAACAATCGTTAAAAACTCATATATCGCATATGGGAACTGTTTGAAAACCGGCATTTGACCAGTCGTGTCAGTGATAACAAGCACAGATCCAGTCAGTAAAATTGATCCGTACCACGCAATTAAACGAGCTAATTTATTTTCCAGTAAATACGATCTGTACACGAAAAGCGGCGGTGTCCCCGACATCGAGAAACTCTGGCCCTACTACGAGAAGCTGATAGACAAGTATATTCCAGGCGAGTTGGAGTGGTGAAGCCCCATTCTTGATCGTCCAGCAACGAGAACCAATCGATCACCGATCAACGACAGCGGTGGAAGCGGAAACGAGACGGATCGCAGGACATATCGTATTTATCGCTCGACGTGGCTCTCAATCGTCGGAAGATCGCTCTACAGTCTGAAACGCGCCACGTTCGCTTGCTCGTCTATTTTGCACGATCGAATCGTGTCTGAGTGACGGACAGGCGAGCATGAACCGACGAAAATTCCAGCTTTGATGAGTAACGGGGAAGAACGATGCCTCGCTCGAGAATTTCACTCATCTGTCGATCGATAGTCTGGCCACACGCGAACACCGCTTTCCGGCCGCCTCTGCGCTGACCGAGGGACCGATTTCGCGTTCTTCCACGATTTTTTAATACAGTGGTGCACGAAGTATGGTTCGTGGGCCATTGAGACCCGGTTTGGAATCAAGCTGAGGGTAATTTCAAAAATATGAATTTGTTGGATGATTTTATGTTTTGATCGTTCACCGACATCAAAATATTGATCGTTTAAATATAGTAATGGGAGTTTTCTATAGAGATATGGTCTATGTTGTTATACTCAGCTATGAAGTAACACTTTTGGGATTAAAAATACGCTTTCTTATTTTGTTCGTTATCAAAAAGGCTGCTAGAATTATTTTCTTTGCACTAAAGGTTACTGTGACATGTATCATAGTTACACTCGATTATGAAATAACACTTTTTGGGTTAATAATTCGCTTTCTTATTTTGTTCGTTATCAAAAAGGCTGCTAGAATTATTTTCTTTGCACTAAAGGTTACTATGACATATATCATAGTTACACTCGATTATGAAATAACACTTTTTGGGTTAATAATTCGCTTTCTTATTTTGTTCGTTATCAAAACGGCTGCTAGAATTATTTTCTTTGCACTAAAGGTTACTATGACATATATACTTGTTCTTTTCTAGCGAGAAATATTGTGCACCACTGTTTTAACAAGTTTGCTATCATGTATCACGTACAAGGTATCCTGGGAAGTATTTGAGAAACCTAACACACGTGTTCAGCAGGTTCCATGTAATTGGCTAACAAGACAGTTAGTTAAATACTTCACAGGACACCCTTCATGGCACGCCGATTTTTATGTTAGACCAAGGCCCGCATGTACACGACACGATTTGGTATTTTATATCCGTATAAACGTATGTAGTATGAACCATGGAAACTCACCCCCAGAGGGGTTTTGAAATTGAAATGAATGTAGGAATCTAATGATTTTAAAACGTATTAAAGTTTGACAACGAATTATTTATTGTCTGACTTTTACAACTGTCTCGACCGAACTGAACTTCGAATTATTATAAATAACAAATCACACCGCGTTCCCATGCAACCATTGCATTCACAGATACACTCACACGCTTACCCTCATATTATATATCACACTCCTACACTCGGCCGTTCCTTACAGAGCTCCGTCCTCGATCATCACACTCCTACATGAATAATAAAAAATAACTCCACTGGACAGCATAAATTATTCCTTCTTTTAAAAACCAGTGATCGACGATCTGGACAATCTTATCACGTACAAAAATAATTTTTTTAATATACCGACAGCCTGCAGAAGCTACGTATCTAATTAGGGCCCCTGTTGATCTCCAAGAGTCCCTGGTCAGCTATTTAACATAGTTCGATAAACGTCCTGGTCACGCTTCGTGAGATTCAGCCGCGTGGAAGTTTCGAAGCGAACGGGATCCGTTGCTCTGCGGTTTGAGAGAGCCGAGATGTATCCAATAAGTCGATCGAGCTGTCGCGCGGATAACAGAAACTCTCCTTCCTTTGTTTATTAATCCGCGATCGTTTCGTTTCGCATATGTTTGTTCGCGCTATCCCACGTTCGACGCGTTCGTGTCCGGCCGTCTCCTCGTTTCCGGTTGCTTTCAACAGAGACCTCTCCTGCGCGCTTACCTCTTCTCGAGTCGAACGATCATCCACATGTGCGGCTGTAACTGAACAGTTCGGTTCGGTTTGCACTTCTTGGTCAATCGAGCGGGTATCACGAATCTAAATAGCGTACTTCGACCTGTAACAGTGACGATCGGTTAGGTATTACTCGAAAAGTACGCGAAGAATGAAAGGAAGAATGGTCAGAGCTAAGATATTCGCTGAAAGGGGATTACTCAGCTCCAGGGCATACATCTTTTTATCTTGACTTTAAATTTATTTTCACTAGTATTATTAGTCCTCATACTAATATTGTTAACCAATTTTTCGTCGAAACGCACCAGTTGCGTCAGTAGCACTACTGAAATAACAGTGCGAGCGTAACAAGCGCGTCGGTAGCATCGAATGTGAGCGAATGTGTTAAAGGGAATGTGGACAGAGTCGACTAAATTTTGCTTAACCTTGCGTCGCGCAATGTAACCGAATACAAATAATCTCTGTAAATAATTGGCGGTAGAGCTTGTGGTTTCAATAAAAAGAGGCATATTAACCAGTGCGTGGAGAATTTGCGGGCCCGCTTTCGTTTTCGTGGCGTCACAAACGTGACGCGTTGTTTCTCGTGGGAAACGAACGTCACACGTGCGTCACCGCGATGACTTTCTATTTTGCGTATAAACAAATGAAGCACGAAACTATTAATCAGCGTCACGCACGCTTTGTTTGCGATATTCAATTACCTATTCGTTACACTCTGTTTGTACGCGGTTGCAATCATTTACGATCATCTGTTATAACGACAGATTGACTGCTGAAGTGGCATACCGATTTCGTTATTAATCCTTTGCACTCGAGAGGTGACTCTCAGTCACCACTAGGTTCTCTTTAGGTTTAATTTCTTTGGAACTCGAAGTGCCAATAAAATGATTGTCATTGAGCCATTCCTTTCGAATTGTCAGCCCTTTGCGGTCTTCAGTTGACCGTGGTTCGACAAAAATGTACCGAGCTCAGGAAGTCTGAGTCTCGAAGGGTTGACTCACAAAACGCTACCAAATTTGACGCATTTGATCTTTGTTATTGCTATGTATATTTTTTTATATTATTAATCACTTTTAGATTTAAGACTTTCGCGGGGATTATTCCTTGTGAATTGTCAGCCCTTTACGGTCTTCAATTGAACGTGGTTCGACAAAAATGTACCGAACTCTAGAAATCTGGATCTCGAAGGGTTGACTCACAGAGCGCTACCGAATTCGATGCATTTCATCTTTGTTATTATTAATCACTTTTAGATTTAAGACTTTCGCGGGGATTATTCCTTGTAAATTATCAGCCCTTTGCGGTCTTCAATTGAGCGTGGTTCGACAAAAATGTACCGAACTCTAGAAATCTGGATCTCGAAGGGTTGACTCACAAAGCGCTACCGAATTTGATGCATTTGATCTTTGTTATTATTAATCACTTTTAGATTTAAGACTTTCGCGGAGATTATTCCTTGTAAATTGTCAGCCCTTTGCGGTCCTTCGTTGAGCGCGACTCGACAAAGATGTACTGAACCTGATTCTCAAATCTTAAATTAGAGATTTCATCTGTGAAGTTAACTAAACTTAGGATTCGTGAAATGTTCTCGAGTTGCTGGTAGATACCAGAAAAAAAGGCCTCGAGTGCAAAGGGTTAATTATTCGAGCAAGAGTGCCCTATCTCTGTTTTCGTTCTACGATCCTACGAGTTTTGTGACGCGAGTAAGTCTTCGCTAGAAGATGAGGACGACAAGGAGGTGGAGGAAGAAGAGGAATTCCTTGGTGCAGCGACGCGTCGTGTCGGTAGCGCACGAAAGGTGCCACGGGAAGCTCTAGTAACCACGGGTATGCGGCGGTTTCCGCGGGTAATCGAAAACGAGCGTCGACTTTCGAGAAGACCCATCCGAGCAGCGGCCAAACATCGCCTCGCGGTTTCTTTCCCACGTGATTAGCACAGGTAACGGGCAATAGCGTTGCGTAGTCCTTGACGCCTCGGCGGACAAGTATTAGGTCATTCTAGAAGTTCGTACCACGGATGGTGTCTATATTTAATTTAAAAGATATTGAGATTTTATCGGGAAGTCGGGAAATCTGGACCTCGAAGGGTTGACTCGCAAAGCGCTACCAAATTTGATATATTGGATTGATCTTTGTCATGTTTAATTATTTTTAGATTTAAGACTTTCGCGGGGATTATTCCTTGTGAATTGTCAGCTCTTTGCGGTCCTCCGGTGAGCATGGCTCAACAAAGATCACCGAGGACTCAGAGAATCTGGATCTCGAAGGGTTGACTCACAAAACGCTACCGAATTTGATACATTTGGTTGATCATTGCCATGTTCAATCACTTTTAGATTTAAGATTTTCGCGGGTATTATTCCATGTGAATTGTCACCCCTTTGCAGCCCTCATTTGATCTTTGTTATTATTAATCACTTCTAGATTTAAGGCTTTTGTGAGTATTACACCTTGTAGCATTCATAGCTTCTGGAAGGTTGCAGCGTCCGGTTTCAGCTCATGGTTTCAGCTTGTCGTCAACGTTTCGCAAACGTTGCAGTCTGGATCTTCAGGGCTAGGTTTCTTCGAAGCTTCCTTGTTTCAGGATATCTTTTATTAGGATCCGTCCAAATTCAAACGTTATCAAATATCTTCATACCCATGTGTTAATCGCGATTTCCTATTATTAATTACAATATCTTCTGAAAAACAGTTTTGAAAACGTCAAACTAAGAGAAAACGAGCTCGAGGAAGAACGAGGAGGAGAAAACGGGCTGGTTACGTGCGTGTTTCGTAGATCGTTCGTAACGAAGACGTAGGAAGATATTTTTCGCCGAGTACACTCGATTAGGCCTGTTCAATTCCCGAGGATCGAGTCGTTAACGAAGGTAATCGAGCTATCGGGGCGGCCCGACCGGCGCCCATGTCTCGGCAAGGTAATTATTGGTTCTGTTCTGCATCGCGATGCATCTGCAAAGGTCGGAGGGAAGGGCATGGTGTTCCTTTCCCGATCTGGGACGCGCGCTGGGACGTATCGTAATAAAGGAACAGCTGCGTCGAAGTTACTCAACCCGAAACGGGGTTACGTGGTCCGTTTCGAAGCGTTGTGCCGATTCCCCGCGCGTGCGTCGCCGCACGAAAGTCTGGGATCGCTTAATCCACTTGTAGGCTGTTGTGTACCGCGTGCAATTGAACGTAATTTCATTTTAGA